GGGTAACTGTAGCTACAGTGGTAATTTATTACATACGTGTGGGAAGGGCTGCAAATTAACAGCTTCTGGAACCACCACATAATTGAATTTGTTCAAAAATGTTAACAACAATTTTAACTAATTATAAGCACAGATATATTGTTACTTCAGTTACATCTTTTCTTGATATTTGGCACAATTGTGGTTGAATCCAAATTTATCATATGGTAAACTCATATCAAATAAAATGTATTTGTCAAAATACAAAAATATGTAAAAATAAATCTTGCTAATAATAGTCTTTTGCCCCAAACCAGTTTTGAATTTTGAATTTGGACCCTGTTAAAAATGAGTTTGACACCCCTGATGTATCACGTATGTTATAACAATACTGTTTACTTATACAGTAACAATGCATATATATATATATATATATATATATGTATATATTAAAAAAAAAAGTCCACTCACCTTTGGCCCTCCGCGGGCGGTTATCCCTCTCTCTCTAAGCTCGGGTCCTCTACCAGAGGCCCGGGAGCTTGAGGGTTCTGCGCAGTATCTTTGCTGTTCCTAGCACTGCACATTTCTGGACCGAGATGTCCGAGGTCGTTCCGGGGATCCGCTGTAACCACTCATCTAGCTTCGGGGTCACTGCCCCGAGTGCACTGATCACCACGGGCACTACTGTCACCTTTACCCTCCAGGCCCTCTCCAGCTCCTCTCTGAGACCTTGGTATTTCTCAAGCTTTTCATGTTCCTTTTTCCGGATGTTACCATCGCTTGGAATTGCCACGTCCACCACCACGGCTGTCCTCTGTCCTTTGTCCACCACCACAATGTCAGGTTGGTTCGCCATTACCATTCGGTCAGTCTTTATCTGGAAGTCCCACAGGATCTTCGCACGCTCATTCTCCACCACCTTTGGAGGAGTTTCCCACTTAGACCTTGGGGTTTCCAGCCCATACTCTGCACAGATGTTTCTGTACACTATGCCAGCCACTTGGTTATGGCGTTCCATGTAGGCCTTCCCTGCAGCATCTTGCACCCTGCAGTTATGTGTTGGATCGTCTCAGGTGCCTCTTTGCACAACCGACACCTTGGGTCTTGTCTGGTGTGGTGTATCTGGGCCTCTATCGCTCTGGTGCTCAGTGCAGTGGTGTTCCTGTGCAGCCATGATGAGTGCCTCTGTGCTGTCCTGTAGGCCAGCCCTTTCTAGCCATTGGTAGGACTTCTTGAGATCAGCCACTTCTGTTATGCTCCGGTGGTACATGCCGTGTAGGGGCTTGTTTTCCCATGATGGGCTCTCCTCCAGCACCTCCTCATCTCGCCACTGCCTGAGACATTCACTGAGTACGTCATCCGTTTTGGCCTTCTCCATGATGTAGTTATGGAGTTTGGATGTTTCGTCCTGGACAGTGGCTCTCACACTCACTAGTCCTCTGCCTCCTTCTTTACGGCTTACGTACAGTCTCAGGGTGCTGGATTTGGGATGGAACCCGCCATGCATGGTAAGGAGCTATATATATATATATATATATATATATATATATATATATGTAAATATATATATATATGTAAATATAAATATATATATATGTATACTTATACTGTAACAATGCACATGAATGAGTAGATACTGTAAGTCCCTCTCATACTGCAAGGGCCGTCCCAGAGACCGCACCGAGGTTGAACCACCACAGATGGCCAGACCTTTACCAAATGCTGAGTTGGAAATGAGACAAGGTCTTGGGTGCAGGTAACAAATGACTACATGTTGTTGCTGATCTGGATCCAGAATATTTTTTACAGAATGGAACTGCACCTCTTGGCGGGGTTTACGTTCTAAAGATACACTGTAAATATTAACGGACGTAGTGACGCCTAGTTCCTTCCTTGAAATTTCTGTGTGATCAATCCTTACCTTTTGAAAATGGCTGCAAGTAGCCCCTCTTGAGAGGAAAAATGGCACCATAATAATTTAAGATTAAGATTAAGAGATCCTTTATGTGTCCCACAGCGGGGAAATTTCAGTGTTGCATTACCACAAGTTATAGAACAGTAGGAATGAGGAGCAACAACACAAGAGTGTACAATAACTATACTGAATACAATAAATTATAATCTCTAACTCTAGCATAAAAAAAACAAGTATCAAATCTCTATATTTTACATAATAAAGAAAATATATTGATATGTCTGTTTCCGGGCACTGGCAGGGAGCCAGATTGCAAGCATGTCAGCACATACACTCACAGAGCTTTTAGCGCCGGGACCCGCCCCACTGGTCCTACATTTGACACCTCACTTAAGATTCAACAATATAGCAACTGAACAAATATTCACCAAACATTTTTCTCTCTTGGCATCGGTGAAAAGCATGTATAATACATTTTGCCTCAGCCTGAAATTCTAATTAATTCGTCCATATTCAATCAGTCTGAATATTTTGACTTTGATGTGAATGAGGTGTATGTGAGCGGTGCTTGTCAAAGGGCCTTTCAATTGACTTTACACCTCAGTATAAAAGACTGACATGGTTTTCAGCACCCGATTTATTCATCTGAACGGATCCCCTCCTCCTCCCGGGGCCTCTATCTGCTCCATATCAACCTTGGATTATAGCAGATAATGAGCAAACATGGGAATTAGCTTGTCATGTCAGCACTGATGAACACCCCAAAAAAACAAAAAACATAGAAACTACATGAAAATGCCAAACGCCCAAAAATATCAAGACAAATGTGCATTTTTATGGTTTCTGTCATTATGTGAACAATCCAATCCATGTTTGAACCATGTGACCTCCTGTTAATTATTATTAACATATCCATTATTGAATGCATTATTATATTCATTGTTTATTCATTTAATTAATTATTCAACATATATCAATTTTTCTGCGATTCCCTCTGATCTTGTTTGCCTGTGCAGTGACTTTAGAAGACCAAAAAATTCAGAAGTTGGTTTTGATTTTTTGAGATTTTCCTGTTCTCCTCATGGTGAAAGACTGACATGGGTCCAACGACACGGAATTTGAACCACGTGTTGTATACTGGTTCATTATTTGTGGGGCTTTCTTGGGGCCCCCTGATGACATTGGGGCCCTTTAGTAATAATAATGCATCGGTTTTATATAGCGCTTTTTTGGACACTCAAAGACGTCATTATTCGTTCACTCCATACACGGTGGTGATAAACTACTACTGTGGCCACAGCTGCCCTGGGGCACACTGACAGAAGCGAGGCAACCAGTATGCGCCATCGGCCCCTCCAACCACCACCAACCATTCACACACACACCAGACTCATTCTAGGCAATGGGGGTGAAGTGTCTTGCCTAAGGACACAACGGCAGTTAGGCACTTTACACCCGCAGCCGCCCCACTGTGGCTGGTGTTCCCAGAGGTTAAGTGTCTTGCCAAGGACACAACGGCAGTAGACAGTGGGAGTCGATGGTGAAGGTCGGGCTCGAACCCACGACCCTCTGGCCCAAAGGCCAATGCTCTACCAACTGAACTACTGTCGCCCTTTACAGCTTTTCAGTCCGCCTATTGGGTAGAGCTGGCCATGTGGTCCTTTATAAATATTACTACATACACATAACCACAAATGACGTAGTGATAATTAGGATGAGATGAAGTGACAATAGGTCACAAATGGCACAAATACCTGAACAAAAGGAAGAAATGTTAAGTCTGCTGTTCGCATTTATCTTCACTTTTCACGGCCAAGAGGTCGCCATAACAACAGAGGTGATCTGTTACTTACCACAATTAATAGAAAACAAGAAAAACACAAAAAATGCAGTAGAAAACCATCTCTTTAGAACAGGTTGCTCTTGCTGAAAGCCTGCACTATGTTCCCATTAAAGCAGTGGTATACCTAACATTTATTTCTAATCAATAGTCTTACTGTGAGTCTCTAATTGAAGCTTTGAGTGAATAGTCCTCTCCTGTTCACTTTTCTGTCTGAAAAAGCTGACCTAAAGGTGTGACTGAGGCCAAAAATGCATGCTGGTGAAAACTATTGAACTAAAATGTTTTGAGAGCATAATCTGCGAGTAAGACAATGACTTTAACAGAACAGCAGTTTCAAATGATCTACAAATATTTCCCAGATGATGAAAATGTGATTTTCTCTTTCTCGATAACAACACTCAGGTACACAATGGGACTGCTTTGGTGTACCTGATTAAATGTTTACAGGAGTATTTTCCCACATATTCAGAAAGAATCGCCCTCTCCACTTTTTGGAGAAATCTCTCCAGTCTTATCTGATGAGCTCATGTCACCAGAATGATAGACAACTGGGAGGACCAATAGTCTTGATGATAAGTAAGTAGAAAACCCTCCTATATAAAACGAGGTGACAACTGAACAGTTACAAGATGTCGCAGGGGTCTGGGGTCGAGTCACAGACAGAATACATGTTTTGATGTAAAAACAAGAAGACCAAAGATTTTCAGAAAGTGATTGCAAAGAATGGAAGAATGGACAGGCTCCCATCAGCAGCTGCCACGGTGCCATAGCTTCGGTCTTCAAATAACCAAAACATCCATTAGAAATTCAGTGGCGTCTTACTGGCCTAATGATGAAATCAGTTAGAAAATATCCACACAGAAAATCTCAAAATATAGATTATATTAGGCTACTCTGGCAGTTTAACTCGTGCATAATCAGCCTACACCTGTGAAGTAGAGTGTGTAGCAGTTTCCACTGTACATTTTATGATACATTTTGTTTAAGGAAATAGTGAGATCTGTATGAAAAACTGTCTAAACCATGAAAGCCCCGACATATGCAAGTCACACTGACATTCTGCATGGTTTTACCACCCGCTGCCATATTGGTTCAAATGATTGATGATTGAACATTATACAATCCAGTATGATCTGCAATGTCCCCGCAATGTGACGATGAAATATTCTATTCATTTCATTACACTAGGTTTACTTTTTCAAATATTGCCTCACAATTAACGTCCACAAAGTTTTGAGTCTTTAATGTCTAACTTACAGATAAATGAGAAGGACGCAGGGAAGGAACAATCCTGAAAAGAGGTGGGACCGGAGAAAAGGCGTGTGCCTGACAGCCGCAGACACAGTGGACCTTCCCTCTGAGAGAACGCCTCATCTCCGCCTTCACTGCCGAGCTGCGTACGGAGACAGACGCGCGGAGCCATCAGATAACGTTCCTTTTTCTTTTTTTTGTGGATTGGATTAGTCAGACTGTGAGAGCACTATTAACACGGGAAGTCATCTGGACATGAACTCCAGGAGAGATGTCGCTCAGGATGCTCGCACGTGTGGGGCCAGTGACTCCGGTAAAAGTCTGAGTCTGACAGCCTGACCCAGGAGCCGCGGCTCTTCCATTGGCTCCGGCGGCGGCGCACTTCAGCTCCTGCAGCCTGGAGCGCGTTCACACAGAGGGTAAGTGGCGTTTGGGATGACACACTTTCCCAATGAAAATAGCGCTTCATCAGACTATTTCAATTAGCCTGCAGCATATACGGAGGAGGACGGTGTCGGGCAAGGTCCACTGGAAGATCGAAACACATTTGTTACAGGGATTTAGGAGAGTATGATGTATGTGTGTGTGACAATATTGTATTCCAAATGTCTCTCGTTACTCAACTTTGAAAGACTCTGATTTACGTTCAGTCTGTTCACCTTTAGCTATTGCTTTGTTTCTGTTGTTCTTATGTCACACACCAGATGCAAAGATAATGAACTTGTATTTTTACGAAAATAAAACTATTGAAGCATTAATAAAGATACCTGTAACTTGAGGAACATGAACTGTAATCCATCATAGGACCCATGTTGCCAATACGATTTTTGTGATAGGTTTCTGAGTTACATCCAAATGTATTACATCACAGTAATTTCTTACTTTTGTAACAATTCACTCCCATAACACTGTATGTATTATGGTGACATTTGTGTTTTATTTAATCACGTTCGAGGCCTAGAAGTAAATAAACTAGCCCAAGTGGTTTTATTCACGTCTTTAGATATTAGGCTTTACATTTGTAGAGCATACTTGGCATGAGGCAGTACCATAACCCTCTGGACTTAAAAAACGCGGATTGGGTGTTTGACGTCGACAGTTTACGCACACTTGTTGCGAGTGGTTGAAGGTGTGGCCTGTGCTCATTAGCTATGATGCAAAAGCACAACTAAATCCTGGACTCAATATTCGCTCACAAGGATGCTGATCTGTGAATGTAGGTCAAACTGAGCACACTCCGTCCAATCAGCTACAGAAGGCTTTAACAACAAACCAAGTTCGGAGAATATAAAACCCCGCTTCCATAACTCTTCTGAAAAATGCCCTACTCGTATTTTTGGCAGGACTGAAAAGGATCTTCCCTATCTCTAACAGGGATGTATCTTTGTGTATGAATTATAATGACCCAAGGTTTGTTCATTTAACCCTTGTGTGGTGTTCGGGTCTGTGGGACCCGTTTTCATCTTTTATTAAAAGTAAATGATACAATTAATTATTTTTTCAAACTGAGACTCACTTGCTTTGGCTCATTTTCTGTGAAGAACATATATCAGAATACATATTTAATGACCACACACCATACACCTCCCCTACACATTTCTATTACATAGAAGATGTTCGGGGTCCACTGGACCCGGGGCAAATAGAAGTGTGGAAATTGACCTTGCCTTTATTTTCCTGTGAAGGGTCTCCATACATAGGTTACTTGAACCAATTATAGCCAAGCAAGTTTAATTCCATTCCAATGAAGGACCTGACTTCTTCATGACAAACGAGTGTTTGCATTATCCCCTCTTACTGCCATGTGGTTGTCCAAGCCGCTATCCATTGGAGACTACTTTTGAGGCTACTTTTATTTTCCATAAGAATGTTTTCATTAAAGTTCATGGTACAATAGTTCTCCTTTTTACAGAGTGCTCCCTTTAGCTTTATTGTTTACAGCTGTTCCAGACATGAAGGATCACACCTCTCATACAAATACATTCCCATAAGAGGACGACATTTGTAGCATTTTTCTCTTCTTGTCATTATTGATGGTGTTTGGATATAAGCGTTTAGATATACATTGCCAGAGCTCCTCAGTTCTGTTCATGGTCAGTCATTCTTGTGTCTGTTCCGAGCATGAGAAGTGGGTCACATGCTTGAATTATCTATTTGCAGGGTTGCATGCATTACTGCAGAGAAACTGCCTTTTGTAGGAGCCGTGCGGTAAAGAGACTTGTGGAGAATGGACGTGGCAGCGGTGGAAGAGCAAAGCAGTATCCAGGAGAATGGACTCTGGCACAGCAAGGCCAAAGCCACACGCCACACTGACCGCTCCAGTCTGAAGGTAAAAAGATCAAGCACCTGAGTCCCCCAGAGACTGAGCATGTTATCTGTGCAATATACAACATGCAAGGGAGGGCTGCACGGCCAATCACAAGAATGTCCTTTTGTTATGTGTTTGTTATGTTATTTATGACACACTGATTGGTCATGTGACTTCTGCAGCTGTGGGTAAATCTAGACTCTTTTTATTAATTCTAAAAAATGCCTTGACAAAGACACTTTTGGTGTTGAAACGCATCATGTCCAGTTAAATACAGTGTTTTTAACTGTGATTCTACAAAAAACTACAGAAAAAAACTATAAAAAACTAAAACTCTATGACATGCTGGGTTAATATCAGACAATAAATACCTGTATTACATCAAATGAAAGGTCTAATCAGAGTATAATTGATGCTTAACTGATAATCGATACAACAATGTTTCAACACTGATATCCGATACCAGGATCAGTGCATCCTTATCTGAAGTGAAGCTTTTAGTTCTACTAGAAAAATAATATTTTACAATATCTTTGAAATATGTGGAATTGTGTATGAGGTCATTGCTTAATATATATATTTTTTTCCATCAAATTATACTTTCTTGTAGTTGTTATTATCAAAATTAGACTTTGTATATTACAGGATATCAAAAATCACATCGCAATGTTGGTCAGAAATATTGTAATTATACGTTTTTGACAAAATTTTGCAGCCCTAGTGCAAGGTATAGAGATAGATAGATAGATTATTGATCCCCGTAGGAAAAGTTCAGGTGTCCATCAACAGAAGACTCATCCAGGTCTTTTGTACAGTCTGACAGCCGAAGGAACGTAAGATCTCTTGAACGTTCCGTTCGGCAGCGTAGTGATTGGAACCTGTTGCTTCAATTACTTCTCTGAGCGGCCATAGTGGAATCCAGAGGGTGCTGCATTAGAGCCCTCATCCTTCTCTCCAGCTCAGCTCCCACAGAGTCCACACTTCTCCCCATCACAGAGACACATTTCCTGATCAGCCTGTCGAGCCGGTTACTGTCTCTCGAGGTCAGACTGCCGCCCCAACACGCAGCCCCGAAGAACACGGCACTAGCTAAAATAGACTGGTAAAATATGACTGCTCACATCGAAGGACCTCAGTCTTTTCAAGAAGAAGAGTCTGCTCTGACCTTTCTTAAAGACAGCATTGGCCTGAGATGACCAGTCTAGTCTGTGGTCCAGGTGGACTCCTGGGTATTTGAAGGACTGAACCACTTTAATGTCCTGTCCATTTACTGTGACCGGTCGTTGGGAAGGGCTCCTGTGAAAGTTGATGATCAACTCCTTGGTCTTGGACGCATTGAGAATCAGACCATTTCTGTCACTCCAGTCTGAGAAGGCAGCCCCCACCTCCTTGTTCTCTGCTTCATCTCCCCCCCCCCCCCCCCCCCCCCCCCCCCCCCTTCACACATGCCACAACAGAGAGAATAGAGAACAGGCACCTGAGTACAGGAGCCATATTTATGAGTGCAATATACAATAAATCAATAAATATGCACCACCTCCTCGTACTGGATCATCATGTCCTTAAGCCCTCCTGCATCTGCAAGGAACAACTAATAAAACCCAGTGGGAAAAAGTGAGAAACCTCAGGAGGCCATTGAGGGAGGGATCCGCTTCCACGGACGGGCGAGCTATAGGTTCAGGACTTAGGCTGTGTCAAATGTCACTCTTTTGAAGTTATTATTACACATATAATTAGACAGATACAGGATAGATCATTCAGTCATTTATTAAGATAAGATAATCCTTTATTTATCCCACAAAAGGGACATTTCTATGTCATTGTTGTGCATATTACAGCAGAATATTAGAGGAAATAGGAGCACTCAGATTGCACACATCAAACAGGATCTATTATTTAAGATAATAGATAAGATAATTAAATAATATTGTAGAGATGAAGATGTTGCCAATAGATCGCCTTTTGGCTGCTAAGATTTTAAGGGTTTCCCAAACGCGTGTCTTCACAAACCACAGTCCAAATAGTGTATTAGAGGTTTCTTTATTGGCCCCTATGACCAGTAATCCATATAAACATAATAAATTCCACAAGTGATTGACACGTAAGAAACGGTTTACCTCCAAACCTAGCAGCACCTGTGCCCTCTAATTCTGCCCTTTTTATAGGAGAATGGGCTAAGGTCACATAACGCCCACAAGGTTCAGTTTGGATCCTACAAATATGATAATGAAATAAAAACTCTGGAGCTATATTTTCACTTGTTTCAAGGAGAGTACACTCAGCAGGAGGTATTTACAGATGTGTATATTGTACGTTAGCAGCAGGGTCTATTTCCAGAGTAAACATTAGTAATAATAGCAGCAGTAAATGACAGAAATATGAGTGAAATATGCATTAATGTAGTAATAATAATAATGACAACAATGTAAAGTGACAAGTGAATTATTAGAACAGGTGGCATGTGTATAGACTCTGCAGTTCTCATTGTGCAGTCTGAAAGCAGATTTGTTCTCTAGTTTTTACTCGTTTTTTCAACGCTGAACTGATTCCCTATTGTCTGAGATCACATGCTTGTCTGTATCTTTGTACATTTTAGTGTTTAAGTGGTTAACACAATTAGTTAGCCCACGGCAGACATGGTCCAATGACTGAATGTCAGACCAATGTGGAACCAATCGCTGAAATTTGTCATGAGTGTGAGTAAAAACAAACTCCTTAAGTTCTCCCTGTGAGCTGAAGTATTGCATCACAAAAAATAATTAATTACACTATATTGTTAAACATTTTGAAAACATACAAATAATTTGTTTGAATAACTTGGTTAAGCTCTATCATAAACATTGCTTACAAAATGATGATTACAAGTTTTTTTTCTGTGCGTTGAGTGCGTCGCACATCAGAGGATCGGAAAGTGGAAGAATTAAGTCTAGAAATATACAAAGCTTTGTGGCATGTATTAACATATTTTTTGTTGTTATTTTAAGTTGAGGATTGCATTAAGCCATATATGTAAGTACTGCTGTAGCCTGCAGACACTGCGCTGGTGAATCAAGCAGCCACATAAACACTGCCCCATTCTTAAATAACTGTGTCTGATCATAACATAAGTGGAAACTGTAAGGCAAGTTTATTTATATAGCACAATTCATACATAAGGCAATTCAAAGTGCTGAACAAAACAAGAAAGCATTAAAATCATAAATAATCACAGAACATTAAAAAGAAAGATAAACATATAAAATCCCTCAGTTGTATGCACAGCTAAACAGAACTGTCTTTAACCTGGTTTTAAACATTGTCAGAGAGGAGGCCTGTCTCACATCTTCAGGAAGACTGTTCCAGGTTTTAGCAGCATGAATCTGAAAAGCAGCCTCCCCATGTTTAGTTCTGACTCTGGGCACTAACAGGAGTCCAGTCCCTGTGCTCCTCAGAGTCCGGGCTGGTTCATATGGGACTAACATGTCACTAATATATTTTGGTGCGAGGCTACGGAGAGACTTGTACACAAGCAGAGCTGTTTTAAAGTCTATTCTCTGAGCCACAGGAAGCCAGTGCAAAGACCTGAGGACCGGACTAATGTGGTCGTACTTCCTGGTTCTAGTCAGGACTCGAGCTGCTGCATTTTGAATGTACTGCAGCTGTTTTACAGCCTGTTTGGACAGACCTGTGAGCAGGCCATTGCAGTAGTCTAACCTACTGGAGACAAATGCATGGATAAGAATCTCCAGGTCTGCTTTAGACACTATGTTTTTGATCCTGGCAATGTTTTTTAGATGGTAAAAAGCTGCTGATGTTACTGATTTGATGTGGCTATTAAAATTTAAATCTGAGTCCAGTATTACCCCTAGATTTCTGACCTTGTTTGAAGGTTTTAGGGAGAGAGACTGTAGGTGACAGATGACGCTCTCTCTTTGTTTCTGGGGACCAAAGACAATCATTTCAGTTTTGTCTGCGTTTAGCTGAAGGAAGTTGTTTTGCATCCACTCACTGATCTGTTGGATACAGTGAAGGAGTGAGTCCACTGGTCCATGTTCTCCTGCAGTCAGTGAGACATAGATCTGAGTGTCGTCTGCATAGTTATGATAGGAAACTTCGTTTCTGCGTATTAACTGACCTAACGGCAGCATGTAGAGATTGAACAGAAGAGGTCCCAGGATCGACCCCTGTGGTACTCCACAGGTCAGGGCCATATGATCTGAGACACAGTTTCCAATCTCCACAAAGTACTTCCTGTCTTCAAGGTAAGACCTAAACCAACTTAGGGCGGTGCCAGCGACTCCAACCCAGTCCTCTAGTCTCTGTAAGAGGATCTCATGGTCGACAGTGTCAAAGGCAGCACTTAGATCTAACAAGATTAAGATTGAGATTAAGATTGTAAACGGAACACACAGGTTAAGTGTTAACCGGACCAGCTTCTGTTATAAAGTTGGCACAGTTTAAAATGAACATCCCTTTAAAGCCTTTTCTTAAGAGTCCTTGTATCGCATAATACAGAAAAAAGTCTTAGGATGTGTGTTCTGCAGATATTCAGTGGAGCATAAACACAACCTCATGTGCTGCGGGAACTGTCTTAGAGTAACGTTTAGGTGTGAATGTGAATGACGACACCATCTCACAAAAAAACACTTAGATGCAGTGGTCAAAAGTGCCTGCTGCATTCATGAGCAACACAGATTTTCAGTGCAGGGACCCAGTTACCAGTGCGCAAGCTACTTTGGTAAAGCCTAGCGTACATCGGACTGGCAACTGATTATATCCGTCACATATGAGTTGCTGCCCTGCACACATCGACAATATGACGACAATACATCGACAGCAACTGGCCTCAACTACAGTGTGTTTTCTGACATAAACTGTTGCGGGCTCGCAATACACGCAATACACACACGTTGTCGGAGCGGCGCATGGAGCGCGCACATCGGGTCATATCTCCGAAACTGAGGACAACTAGTTGCCGAAAAGTAGAACACGGGCAACTGACTGAAACTGGAGACCGACTGTTCATCTCCAGTTGTAAGAGCGCTCACATCGACCGATTTCAGCAACTGATCATCTCCATCATCTGCTCTCAGTTGCCAAAAGCCGCCTTGCAACTAGTTGTCCCCAGTTTCTCTGTTGATGTACGCTAGGCTTAACACTCAAGAGTCAGACACCCAGTCTTAGTAAATAGCTGACTTCCACATGTCAGTACGTTATCAACTATGAACTATGATAAAGGTGTTTAGAGGTGACAGTATTCAAAACATACATGTTGGCCAGTTGAAAGGATGTTTGGGCTTGTGAATCCAATCACTATAAAATAATGATCTGAGAGAGCATTTGGACATCTCCTGTAGAGTTGTGTTGGCACCTGTCCTCCAACTAAAATAGAATTATAGAATACGAAAACAACCATTTGCACACATGCACAAGCAGCAGTGCTGAGAAGTACACAATCCGACTGCGTAACCAGAGAGACCCCTGAAAAAAAGGCTCTGCAGTTCTCCGCCAATTTCCGATTACGCGCCCAATCAAGAGGGTTCACTGCACAATGACCTTGGTTGGTTGGCTGCAAAGAGCAATGGCGGTGAAAAGCTCTGGAAATTTGTGCAACTGAATTATGAAACACAGATATTTTTAGTGCACACTTTGAGACGTGAAATAATTCTTTTGTTGAGAGAGTAAGCTGGGAAAGTAATTCCGAAAATTATATATTTAGAGGACCATTGGCAACCCTGGCAGTCTCTGGTGCGCCTTGACGTAGTGACAGTTTATCACAGTATGATAGAGGGCTAAGTAGTCAGCTGCACAGAAAACATTTGAACTGTCACCATAGGGTTTCCACTGGTTTGCATTGGGGTAGTATGGAGCGGGTTGGGAGGTCACTCTCTAACCTAAGCCTGACTCACCATGAATCCATACAGAATTCGACGGTCTCCACAAGATATGGAAAGTCATTAAAATCAAAGTGCAGCTGATCCGAAGGCTCCGGCTCTGGTCACAGACGCTGAATGGCACTTTTGAAAACCAATGGAGAGGTCAAAATTAAGCCCAGGAGTAAAATGACTCCCTGTATTTATCAGAGTACATTTTTTCTTCTCACACTAGATCTTGCTTTCCTTATTTCATAAAGCTAAATGACAGAAGAACAGGACATAACAGAACAGGGAGAGGGATAGTTTAAGTAAAAAGATTGTAGTAATGAAATCATGGTAATTTTTTGCAAGACCAGGAACCAAGATAGATATTGTTTTGGTGTAAGTAGAAATGCTTTTCAGTACTTTGAGTGTCAATTTTTACATTAGTTCTTAAGAGAAAGATACCTTTGAGGAAGAGAGATGCTTGATGGTGGAGGAGACTATTCACAAGGACACCTTTGAAATAATTTGTTGATTATGTTTTAACCTTGCTAAAACCAGAAGTAGCACTTTAAACACAGAAAATATGGGTTTATGAAACATAAACTTACAGATTGTTTACTTTGACGCACATTTCCATCCAATACTGAGGAATGTCTTTGGTTTCATGATGTTCTGAAGCAAAAATAAAATGTTCTCAAAACTGAACATTGACATGAAAGTTGGTCACTTAAAATGGGAGCACGCTGGTGTTGCTTTTATCACTTCAAAGTTATGTGAGACAATAGCGTTCCAGTAGCTTACAATAATACAGACAGCTTAAAATAATCGCAGCGTGCTTTGATTCCTTCTAGGAATTGTTCAGCTCTGTGGTGAGTGGAAGGTACATGATGTGACCTCTTTTATCTCTAATCCTGTGCACGGCTTTGCTAAAATGCTCTAATTAGAGCTTTTGCCATGTTGATATACTTATACTTATTAGTCCATTTCTGGGTCAGGGGTGGCAATCAGAGCTGCCACCCAGCCCCTCACTGATCCTTCTGCAGGTGGTGGGTCTAAAGGAAGGGTACGTCTCGGTCTTTCAATGGTGTCTTGGTCTTTCAATGGGGGCTACAAGCAAAATGTCTTGCCCAGGGACACAACCACAACATTGGGAGCAGTGTTGTGTTGCTGTGAGACTGGAAACACCCAATGCACCCAGTCATGTTGTGTCCCTGCATATTTAATTTTTTTCTGGAGACAGGGGTACCTTTTTCAAACCTTGACAATATCAATTCTTGTTGACAATACCATGACCACTTAACACATACTGACCGCTCATTGTGCTTCATGAGTGAGGAAAAGGACAAACGATGCAGAGGTCTGGGCCATGATTTCTGCATCACTATTAAGTGTACCATGTGACTCTCATGTGCTATAGTTCTGGGATAGATGGGTCTTCAGCTCTGTAGAGAACCATGTACCTGTACAAAACCACCATATCTTTATTTTCTATTGAAATGAATGAATCTGTTCAAAAAGGCCACTTCTTTGAGGGTCCGAGAGTCTACACAGAGTTAAACCCAGAGCCAGAGCAAAGTCTCCTTTGTGTTCGTCACATTCTCCCTCTGATCACATGGCCTTTGAACACAATGAAAACATGTATTCTCCAGTGAATACACATGACCGGGTATGCTGCTCTGAGCTCCAGTCAGTCACACGGCTCTTTAAGTCAGAGGACATTCATGATCAGCTGTCACAACAGGCACAGTGCCTCATCCTTTACTGTATATGCAAGTGTCAGGTGCACACCTTTTACTAGATGAGTACCACAGTTTATTTAATATAATATAGTGTGGCATCCACAGATTTGAGGCCAGCTTGAAGATCCATATTTTGGCGAGTTACATTCAACACAGTGGCTGAGTGGATAGCACTCTCGCCCCGCAGTAAGAAGGTCCTGGGTACGAATCCTGGTCGGACCAGGGCCTTTCTTAGTGGAGTTTACATGTTCTCCCTGTGTCTGCGTAGGTTTCCTCCGGGTACTCCGGTTTCCCCTACCACTAAAAACATGTACAATAGGACTGTGCATGCGCCTTCTGTACTGGCGACCCCGCTCCCATCTCTGTGTGGAGCGAGAGGACAAAGGCCCACAATTGTAAACCGCTTTGTGACTCTGGTCTGTGAAAGGCTCTATATAAATAAAGATTACTTACTACTACTTACATTACATATTGTTATTTATTATTTTGCTAAATGTAAAGAATACATAGTTCTTTATTATGTTCAAGATAGAGATATTATACTTGTTTCTTTGATGCTAGAGTCAGAGATTTTGTTTTATTTTAATTAGTATAGCTTTTGTTCACTTATCTTGTGCTGTGTGCTGCTCATTCCTACTGTTCTGTAACTTGTGATGCAACACTGAAATTTCCCCGCTGTGGGACAAATAAAGGCTCTCTTAATCTTTAATCGATCACATATGGTGTTAATAGACAGGTATAAGGACTTCCTGAATCTTTGGTATATTTCTATGATACACCCACAATGTTAATGACCATTGTTTTCTGAGGCAAATAATTGTAACTTGATGTGGTTGAATCGTTAAGCCAGTGTTATAGTATTAATAGTATAGTATTAGTATTATAGTATCAATTCATTCCATGCGTGATGAAGATAGCAGTCTTGTAGTTTAGAGGTTTGTGTTTTTAATAATCTGTTCTCTTTTCCTGCCTGCTCTGACCTGCTCCGGTCCTCAGATGTTCCTTGTGGCTCTGTCTTTTGCCTATTTTGCAAAAGCCCTGTCGGGAAGCTACATGAAGAGCACAATAACGCAGCTGGAGAGGCGCTTCGATATCCCCAGTTACCTGATAGGTGTCATTGACGGGAGCTTTGAGATTGGTGAGTACCTCTGCCGGTCACTTCCTTCCTGCTTTTGTAGCCCGCCTCTCACTGCTCTCCCTTGCTCTGTCCAGTGAAAAGAAAAAGGGATGGAGAGATGTTTGATGAATGACTCACAATCAGAACAAAGAGAGGCAATTGGTTCAAATCACTACGATTGTGACTCCAAAAATGTGAGGTTCCCCATGGAGTTCAATTGAAATAATTGGCAATATAAGTCACTTAAAACGAAAAGCTCTGGGGGACATGAAAAAACTACACTTCCCAATCTGCATATTATTGTGAAAATACATCAGACGAATCCCTTTCACTTTATACTTACATTATCAATATTATTTTATTTTATTTTCTCCTGTTAATTGTTGTTAGCTGTGACGGTTATATTCATCCAATTCTGTGGCATCTAATGCGTTTTTTATGGGATATGATACATGCCTGCTTATTAGCAAATATATTTGATTTCTCAATTTAATCTAATCTAGTATTTTGAATGCAGGGGATAAAGTTTGATCTTAATGAAATCGTATCATACAGTATATAAAGGTCATGATAATGCGCTGCCTGGATCTAGGTCACTCTTGTAGTATTTTCCCTATGCATCAGAGCGCATACATATTTCATCAGCTGCACAGCTCAAATATGCAATTATATTTTCTATCTATAGGATATTCAAACTTAAATAGATTTGGCCTCCTAATACTGCTCTTGTTGTGAGGGAGGAAGTTCCCCAGTTCCCTGTGTGGCCTTTGGGTAGGTGAGCTCATTTAGGGCCAAGGCTGATCGGCAGCTCCATCCTTCTGGTGAAAGCTGCTCCTCATGTGTGGCCTAGGCAACAAGCGTTTTCTATAGGAGTGTTGCCAAGGTAACATACAGGAAGAACAGAGCAATGAGAAGGACGAGAGGAAGAAGGAAGAAAAGAAAATAGGGAACACATGCAGCAAGCTCTTATTCATTTTCTCTAATTTGTTTGATTGCGGTTGACCTGTAGATCATGTAGATGCAGTGGACATAATGCTGCTCTGAGTCACACATTCATCATTATGATGACATGTGTGTACAGAGAACACATAATGGGCTACATGGCTATTCTGGTACTTTTACTCTGCATGTGTTACATTACCGTGATGCTTTGCAGGTTTGGGAGGGTCATGTGCATCAATTCAATGCAATATTAGATTTGTCATATAAGAGCCTAATATTAGCTTCCATAAACCTCCAGAGAAGATATATTCAACAAAATAAAAGCTCAACAGGATCTGTACCTTAATTTTTTATCTTTAAAAGTCAATTAGGGAAAAGTCATGTTCTTCGCAAAAGTAACTTCAATGATGTGCAGTTCTGCAAATGGCCAGCAGAGGGCAAACATTGTTTTAGTTGAGACTGGTGGTGGTGAAAAGTGTTATTGTGATTCTTGAAGTTTCGAGCTTGCCATCAGTTAGAGTTCTTCTCATCTTTTATAATAAAGACTTAAACTCCCACAGATGTTCCACAGTTTGGCACACAGCTTCTACAGGAGGGCCCCAATTTTACAAGAAACACGTTTAGTTAAACACAATATAAACTGTGGGGCCAAGAGGTTTTTTAAAAGGGAATCCAAAAAACCAATCCACCCTAATTTGTAAGTTATTCACAAAACCTAGCAGTTCTACCAGCTTCTTGCAAAGTCATTTTCAGTCCAGACTTTCAGCTGTTCGGAGTCTGCTAAATGCTCTTGCATTTGCCAGATTACTTTTCATCCATTCAGTTAATCGAGTTTGAAAACTTTTATAACCACACGCAGTTTCCGAATAAACATGTTTTTGTTCTGTGTAAGATAAGCTGTTGCATTAATCAACATTGGCATTTCCTGTTTGGTTTCTGTCCAATATAAATAAGATTATACAGTGACTCTTCATCACTATCAATGTAATGATAATAAAGCAAGTTGGATGTTTAGACATTTTGTTGACTTTGTACTGGAAATGATGATACTATGGGCTCTAGCTTTAGTATAACTTTTATTTTAAGCTTTCTATTTTTTATTAGGTCGAATAAGCAGATATTCTGCAAACAAGATTTCTCCTTGTTTGCAGCCTGTACTTTTGTCTCACATTTAAAATCATAGATCCATTTGGTATCAGCCAATTGGGTCAATTGTTGGTCTGGTAACAAAGGCAGGATGAAGGCTTTTCAATTGAAAATAGAAAAGACAAATTTGGCTTTGATGGCTTTGCAGAAGCACACCGCTCGGCTGTCTACTTTATGTCCGCTCGGTATAGAGTCTGCGTTAGCCATCCGTAAACTCCAGACGATCTGCCCGACATATATCACAAATTATCTTGTTTCCAGAGGTTACTTTTGGTACATTTCTAGAGTCTCTCACGATATTGTATCCTTTCTGACTACAAAGCATTGATTGTTGACCTCATTGATCTAATTATAACTTCAAAGACTTTAATACATTTGTGGTCATTAATAAGGATTAATCAAATATTTAGGAGAAAATCACAATCACAATAAAGGATCACTCTTAACTTAGCATCTTGTAGACTCCCATGATACTTGGCGTTCCTACATTTTTCTCTTGACTATTGAAGTTATAAAAACTCAGCCCTTACATTGGGATACAGTACATAATGTCATATTTTGTCTATGTTCCTACCAGGTAACTTGCTTGTGATAGCATTTGTCAGTTACTTTGGTGCTAAACTCCACCGGCCGAAGATCATTGCAATGGGCTGTGTGCTCATGTCCTTTGGCACCTTCATCATCGCACTGCCACACTTCATCATCGGCCGGTGAGTTAACCATCTGCACTCAGGGTATAGAGTCTGTGTTATGAGAGATGTCAGCTGTGCTTTGTGGTCGTACCTGAATGTGAGGGGCCCAGGCTCAGGTGAGTGTGGTCAAAGGCCTGGGCTCATCCTGATTCTCCTTCCTCGGCCTCTCTCCTCTATGTTTCCTTCCATTCATCTCACCTCCTCCCGTTCTTGGTTCTTCTTAACGGTGGAGGAATCGAGGAGGCTTCGTTGTCGCACTTGTGGGTTGAGCTTCCTCACTTATTTGAACAGAAGAGCCAAAAGAATTGAATTTAACTTGGTGCTTTCACATGCATGTATGAAAGATGAACTTTTTCAGTGCACAATAGAGTACCAGCCATCACTCAGGCAGTCAGCTCTCAGTATGTAATATACAACATGTTTTCAAATAAAATAAAGGCAGCATGTTTTTTTTTACAAAATGTTACATCAACAAGATTCTTTCAGTCGGGCCTCCATAAGTCAAACTTGCACCCATAAAGTAAATAATGGACATGGGGTGGGAGTCTATACATTCTTCCCATTCCATTTCAAGTTGATAATCTGTAGATAAAACTGTAAATACTGTACATGCATGAATGAATGTAACTAATTCTGCTCAAAATAATGAATACAATTAATTTTAAAAATGAAATGAACATTAAACTAAACTTCATCAGTTCTAATGGCTGAAACTAGAGCCATGGCCTTGCCCCTGCTATGCACGGCACATCACGGTCTGCTTCAAGTGTATTCGTTTTCTTTCTTTCTTTTTTGAAAGAGTACTGAAAAAAGTCCAAATGACCCCCTCCCTTTTTCTTTTTCTTTTTTTTTTACTACAACAATGAATGTGGTCCTATTCAAATGGCCCTTTCTGCAAATGGAAAATAAACGGAATCTGATCTGAATCTGAACATCACTGTAGCTCTCATCCTTTGTGACTAACTTGTGTATGTCTCTTTGCTTCTTCAGTTATGAGTTTGAGACGTCGGTGCGGTGGCTGGCCAACTCCACGCACAACCCTGCCCCCTGTCCTGTGCGCGCACTCTCGGCAGACACAGCCCAGGACAGGCCAGCAGCTGATGTGCTCAATAAAGGTTGTGTGTGTATTGCTTTAGTTGTTGTTTTATCATTATTATTAAACTGCCATCTGCAACTGTGCGCAGACTGTGAAGGAGAGTCCAACCTATCTATGTGGATCTATGTGCTGCTGGGAAATGTACTGCGAGGAATTGGAGAGACACCCATCCAGCCTCTGGGCATCTCATACATAGATGACTTTACCAGTGAGGAGAATGCAGCGTTGTATGTTGGTAAGTCGTTAAATTTAGTTATATAAAGTGGTGTGATTAATCATTTATCCTGGGGTGATAAACAGTAGTTCTTTATCATGTGTTTGTGACATCACAGGCTGCGTGCAAACCATTTCAGTGGTTGGTCCTGTCTTTGGATACCTGCTAGGCTCTCTCTGCGCCAAAATCTATGTGGATATTGGATTTGTAAAAATGGGTGAGTTTAAATAAGTAAAACCTGCTGAAGCTATAGGCCCTGAAGGGTTTGTTGGTACTGGGCAAATATATTATTGGCTCATTTTTGTATTTCTTTTCACTTACTTGTCCTTAGTTATGGTTTAAACTTGATTGTTTTTTACACGGCTCCTCACAGCAGCAGCAGAACGCTCCATTGATTTGAATGTAATTTCAAAACGTTCCACCGGTCATTATTTCTTGATAACCGACCTCTCAAAACAATAATGCCCGCTGCCCTTTGGCAACGCACCCTCTGCTTGTAATTATTACTCCGCAAGTAGTTCCGGCCACTCCGGAGCTAACCACGCTCAATAAACGCAAATACCAATCAATCAACTCATTTAAATGTTATTGGGAGAATACATTATGCATATACATTCTTCACACACATGCACGGAGGTTTTCCGTGGCCTAACTGTTACTAGCCTAACTGTTTCTAGCCTAACTGTTACTAGCCTAAATGTTACTAGCCTAACTGTTACTAGCCTACTGTTACTAGCCTAACTGTTACTAGCCTAACTGTTACTAGCCTAACTGTTACTAGCCTAACTGTTACTAGCCTAACTGTTACTAGCCTAACTGTTACTAGCCTAACTGTTGCTAGCCTAACTGTTACTAGCCTAACTGTTACTAGCCTAACTGTTACTAGCCTAACTGTTACTAGCCTAACTGTTACTAGCCTAACTGTTACTAGCCTAACTGTTACTAGCCTAACTGTTACTAGCCTAACTGTTACTAGCCTAACTGTTACTAGCCTAACTGTTACTAGCCTAACTGTTACTAGCCTAACTGTTACTAGCCTAACTGTTACTAGCCTAACTGTTACTAGCCTAACTGTTACTAGCCTAACTGTTACTAGCCTAACTGTTACTAGCCTAACTGTAACTGTTATACCAATGTTACTAGCCTAACTGTTACTAGCCTAACTGTTACTAGCCTAACTGTTACTAGCCTAACTGTTACTAGCCTAACTGTTACTAGCCTAACTGTTACTAGCATAGCCACGGGAAAGCCTTTGGGAACTATTTTATTTTCTGTCATTAAATAAACCTTTCGGCATTCCTAAGAGTGGACTGAAGTTTATTTTGTGTGTTCTGTTGGTACAAAGCCATAATAAGCGGGATAACGTATATGACGCAGGTCATTATTGGAAAATAAGTAACTTTAGGGCGGAAGCAGACCGCTTCGTCCTGTCGGTAACAAGTATACATCTAGAGACAAATTCATGAATATGTTTGCTCTTTAAGCCTTCATAAGTTCTGCAATTTTTGGTCAATTAAAATTATATTTAGACTTTATTATTACAGTAATTTCATCTTTTAGAATTTGTCAAATAAATGTATCGAGTGTAATGAACTATGCTACCACCAGTTAAAATGGTGCATTATTTACATGTATTTTTTCCAAATTGGAAAATTACACATCCATGCAATAAGAAAGAATTTAACTTAAAAACAGATAATTTAGGGGCAATTAACACTTAGATCATAGCATAACGGAACTGACACAAGAGATTTTAGATCGAAGGAGCAAGTTACATGTTTGTGTCTGAGGTTCTCGATATTAGCATGGATGGATCTAAAAACAACTCCAGGTCTGTGACTTTATTGGTAATAATATTGTAAGTGTTAAAAGGTAGTTACTTTACATACCTTTTTAACTCATATCTTTGAGTGACTACCTGTCTCCTTTAGATGAAAAAATGTCATGTTTTGTTCTGCTTGTTTTGTTGTTGTACTGAAAAAGACCTGAGTGTTTCTGATCATGTGACCTGCCTCCACAGAGAGCATTACCATCACTCCGGCAGACGCTCGCTGGGTGGGGGCCTGGTGGCTGGGATACCTCATAGCAGGAGTCATCACCCTCCTATCTGCCATCCCCTTCTGGTTCTTACCCCGCTCTCAGCCTGTGTCAGACCCCCAGAATGGAGAGCGGGGACCCCCAGAACAAAGCAGCTTCATTAAGAAGTCACTTTTTCCTAAGCACAAATATCAAGCCGACGAAAAGACTAGTTTTGTCGAAATGGCCAAAGGTAAAACTGGTCAACATTCAACAAGATCTACGGACATTTATCAACACTTTATGGACATCGGTCATCTGCCCCTTATGGACCAATGGCTTTAACCCTCCAGGCGCCACGGTTGACTTAAGTTGACAATATGCGGTCCTGCTTAAAACGGCAAATTGTGTGAAGCAAAATCCACGATTGCCACCACTAAATGAAGTCATAATTGGCAAATTAGATGGGTACATTTGATTCCCACATAAACTTTTGGCCATCCTTAGAATTTCTCTAATTTATATTAAGCCTCTATCTCTTATCACTTTTAAGTTATTAAGAAATTAAGATGTCAAAAGGAGCCTCATAAGAAAAAACCTCTGCCGCCTAAAGGGTTAAGTGTTTTTTTTTTTCGTTGCATTTCTTGTGTTTGAACTGTTTGAACTGATTCTCTAATCTGTGTTGGCAAATTCAACAGTGGTCTTCCAAGGTAACTACTGTTGTGATTTAGGGCTTTACAAGAATAGATTGAATTGAATTAAATGAAAACCAAAACAGAAACTGTTAATGATGAATTTAAATGTGTAGACATTTTACAAAACAATTACATTTACAGTGTCTATGCTTATTTATTACTTGTTTATTTTTTGCAAAAGGAATTTGAGATCCATATGTTTCTTTTTTCTCAGAGACATAGAGTCAACCAACAAAAATATATGAATCTCTTCAGTTGTTGTTGTGTAATACTAAACTTGATCATTTAATTAAGAATCTACATTTATTCATAACCGACAAAAGACATAATGCAGAGTCCTATTTATTTATGGATGATAGCAAACGTTGCGCTTCAGAACATCTTGCACTCATTCTGATTTGATTATGTCTGCAGACTTTATTCCGACCCTTCGCACGCTGCTGGGACACCCCTTCTATCTGATTTATCTGTGTGTGACAATCATTCAACTCAACTCTCTCATTGGCATGGTCACCTACAAGCCCAAGTACATCGAGCAGCATTTTAGGCAGTCTGCTTCAAAGGCCAACTTTCTCATGGGTAAGAAACATGCTTCATATTATTATGTGTTGCATAGATTTATACTAGGGCTGGGCAATAAATCAAATTTAGGCAATTAATCGGCTTTTGAAAAAATCGATAGGATATTGTGAGAGTCTCAGCAGCACATGAATTATACTTGCAATATCCTGGAACCTCTGCACATGTTTTCATGTTATAACCACAAACAACTGATTTTTGATATTTCACTGAAAGACCAAAATAAAAAAGCAAAATAGCAAAGTAACAACGGTCCGAGTTAATAATATTAGCAATCTCCAGCTCCAGAAGCTTTTCATCAACCTTCTTATTGACTCTCTTCCACTCTTCCCTGTCCCTGCTGAAGAAAAGCAGTCCCATAACATGATGCTGCCACCCCATATTTGATACTGAGGATGGTGCAATGTGGGAGACGAGCAGTGTTACAGAGCATAACAAATAGCATTTTGGATTTGGGGCTAAAGAGTTGAATTCTGGACCCATCTGACCACTGCATCTTCTTCCACACGTTGAATGTGTCCCCCACTTTACGGCTTTATTTTTTTAAATTTTATGTCATTATTTTTATGCTGTCTCCAGAGTAATCGTTTTCCTTGTGTTTGCGTGTTATCCTGGTTGGAGCTGTGAGTTTGGGCAGACAGACAGGTCTTGGTAGATTTGAGAAATACTCTTTCCATTCCCACATAATGGATTGAACTGATTATTTACTTATCTATTTCTTTGTCCATGTCATCATATTACATACATACTGTTCATCATATATATTGTCTTTTTGTTCATGCTGTTTTTGCAACATGAACAAAAATATCCCTCGTTTTGGTCCGTATACATTTACTGTGCTCTGTGAGATTTTCAAAGCGTCAGAAACGTTTGGATAACTTAAAAGCGCTTTAAACCTTTCCACAACATAATCCCTTCATTCTCTCTTGAGTGCTCCTTAGCCTCCATGATGCTGTTTACTGACAGACCTCTGAGCGTAGAATACACACAGAATGGCTCTTTTCTCTATGTCTGCACATTCAGCAGTCATTTCAATCTGAAGAGACCAAAGACACAATTAATACAATAAAATTATTTATTTGTTTGGCGCATTGACCCCAGCAGTGACACTTGCAGCAATGAGATCGATTGCAGCTGAAGATGATCTCAGATCCCCCGGGGTCAATCACTGGTGGTGGCTAGAGTATGGTGTGAATGGGGCGTAGGCGGAGCAGGAGCCGGAGCAGGAGCCTAGAGCGGGAGCCAGAGCGGGAGCCAAGAGCCAGAGGGGGTGCTGGGGAGGTGGTGGGTGTTTAAGAGCCTCAGCAAGCGTTGTTTGTCAGGAAGTGGCTGCCTTTTAAACTGCCCGCTTTGCTGTGAGAGGGTTGGCAGGAGGCTGGCCTGGCTGTGTGATCGGTCTTTCAGTCTGAACCTGCGCATTCAGCTTCATTTCAATCTGAAGAGACCAAAGACACAATTTAATACAATAAAATTATTTATTTGTTTGGCGCATTGACCCCGGCAGTGACACTTGCAGCAATGAGATCGAATGCAGCTGAAGATGAACACTCAGACAAATGCTGTGTGAATACTTGTGGACGCCCCATACTTTAGTTTTCTTTAAAAAAACATTAAAAAAAATGATAATAACAAAAACATTTACCACGATGCTTTCCCCTCACAGTTTTCTGTCACTTATATGAACTTCAAACTACATTGAAAATATATATAATATTCAAGTTTATGGTTTAAAACCTGACAAACGTTCAAAGGTTCTCATGTATTTGTACTTTAGAGAGGCACTGTACATGTATGTTTTGCATTTGGTAATCAGAAATTCAAAACTATATGAGGAATATAATTTTCTCTTTCGTGAGCGTCCGGCATGAAGAAAGGGGTTGCTGAGTGGCTCACAGAGGATAGTGGTGCTGTGTGAATCTGTAAGCTGCTTTTCATCTCAAATGAAGCATGTAATAAAGGTAGAACATAAGATGAAAGTATGGTCTCATCAAGGGAGCTGCCTGTGCTGGACTAACTGTGGATATGAAAGAGCATGCAATATCAGAGAGCAGCGCTAATGACAAGGGTTTAGATTAAAGAGCCAGCGCCACACTAACGTCAGCACATTGCGGAGGTCCATACCTCAGTGTTTTCTGTGGTACATAAAAGGTGCAAATTATATTATGTTAATTGAATGTAAAGGTTCTGTGGTAAGTTCAACATACAAACAATTGATGGTTTGAAGGCTCAGGTGGAACAATATAAAAATCCAATGTTACTTATTTGTAAATGAGCAATAAGCAGTATAATAATAACAATAATGCATTGGTTTTATACAGTGATTTTCATGTCTCTCATATGCTATTATTCATTCACCTCATGCACGGGTAAACTACGGTAGCCACAGCTGCCTCTGCAGCGTGGGTGAAGTGTCTTGCCAAAGGACAACAACAGCCACACTTCTGTGGCTCCTAGTCTCCCATCACAGTACTAACCAGGCCCTGCCCTGCTTATCTTCTAAGGTCTGCCAGAACCAGGCTTTTTCCTGCAGGTGGCACTACACTAGATCAGAATACTGTAATTAAATGTAACAAGGGAAAAATGTCCCTTGTTGATGGGAGCTAGGGATACGAGGGACAGGGTCTTGTTGTCTTGTGCTACTCGTTAGTACAGATCTAATTTATTTATTTTTTAAATGTTCGTAACTTTTATCTTTTTAATACAATATGTTTAATATGTATATACACTGTTTTTATGTTTTTGTTTGTTTTTAATTGCTTGTGAAGCCCTTTGGGTTACACTGTATGAATTGTGCTTTATAAATAAATTTGATTGATTTGATTTGATACAGTGGTTCCCAAAGTCGGGGGCGCTGAGCAATTGCAGGGGGGGGGGCAGAACGAATTAATGAACGAAAATAGAGTAGGCTAAATGACACTGCTAGCATAAGATATACACATTTTTGACACATTACAATCTGCAGTTTTGGCGCAAGAAATTCTTATGTACCAAAGTGGGTATCACTGCGCTGGCACATTCAGGTGTGAGGACAAAGATCAGTTAGGGTTCCTATCTGGAGTTACAAAGTCATAAAAAAATGTATATTGGATTATAAATTGAATTCTTGGGCATTAAAGTTCAAGTTGTATTCATATTTTAGTTCTCTCCACTATAAGCATGTGTAACCACGTGTTTCTAAACGATAAGTAATGAGGAACTTTACTTAAGTTCATTTTATTGATCTATTTCAAATATATCTAAATATGTTTCAAGTCAGGGGCAACAGTAGCTCAGTTGGTAGAGCATTGGCCTTCAGGCCTGAAGGTCGTGGGTTCAATTCCCACCTCTACACCTTCTCCACCGACTCCCACTGATGACTGCTGTCGTTGTGTCCTTGGGCAAGACACTTAACCCCGCTTTGCCCAAAGCCCCCACTGAAAGATCAAGGCTATGCTCACACTCAGAGAGCAGCCGTCCTCCTGTGGACTCACCACCTGCAGAGGGTCAGTGAGGGGCTGGTGCTATGAGACTTGGGTGGCATCTCTGATTGCCACCCCCCTGACCCAGAAATGGATTAAAGGGTAGAAAATGGATGGATGTTTCAAGTCTTATACTCATACTTGGAAACAGTTTTGCTTGGTCAGGAAAGCTGTCAGTCTGGCTCATAATTTGTAATATTTGTCTCATTCTCCAGGAAAGATAATATTGTGCAGAATGGACTAAGAACTACTTTATAACATACGTTATGTATGTATGCTACTTATACATTTGTGTTGCAGGCATGATCAACATCCCTGCTGTGGCTCTGGGCATGTTCTCCGGAGGTTTGCTAATGAAGAGGCTGAAGCTGAACATCATGGGAGCAGCACGCTTTGCCTTCACTACCTCACTAATTGGTTACATCCTTTCCCTCTTCTTCTTCACGATGAGCTGTGAGAATGCTATGGTTGCCGGGGTGACGCGCCCATACAGCAGGTGAACCCCGTCAATGTTTACTTTTTTACTCAAGTGCATAATGACAGGTTTATATGACATTGTTGGTGGAATGGCACCTGTTTTAACTCCTAAAGATTTATTGACGTCAGTATCTGGCTCGTGTTTTCCCAACACAGTCCATCACAGAGTCTCCTTCACAAAGCTAATTAGGTTGTTAATTGTAGCCTGTGGAGAGTTGGTCCACTCCTCAGTGAAGGACTGTGCATAGTTACTGGGTATCATCAGGAACTGGAACACGCCGATCCAGGAATTATGTATAGGTCGTTGCAAAACTAGGTTGTGCATTAATCCTGCAACATGAGGTGGTGGTCATGGATCTAGGGCACAACAATTAAAATAGAAATGTAAATACACCGAATTCTAGCCTGTACACACTCTCCATCTGTCTACAGACCCTGAACTTTTTCACATGAGCCTCAGGATCTCATTATTGACAGCTCTGTGGATTTAAAATGTCATCAATAAATTGCATGTTGCCGTGCTATATTTGCCCTGAGGAAGGCACTTACGTTTCAAAACACGTAGGCTTCTGTTTGTATTAATAGAGCAGCTTTATAAGATAACATGTGCCTCGGACCTTACGTACTGGGAGAGCACTGTACCTCTTTTACTGGTTTTCACACACTGTTTTGAACCAATAATGTACATTAAACACATTAAAGGGTTGTCCTTGTGCTTTTGAATCCAGTGAGGCGAGTGAGGCCTATGACACACGGTCAGTCTTTGAGAGCTGTAACCTGGGATGTTCGTGTTCGGACAGTGAGTGGGACCCGGTGTGTGGAGACACTGGCGTCACATATGTTTCCGCCTGTCTGGCCGGCTGCACCAGCTCCATGGGCACAGGGAAAGATACAGTAAGTGTTTCAAACCTGTGTTTATGCACAATACACAGAAATACAGACTTTGAAATGAGTCACATACAGAGTCGCTTAATGTGAAATTAAGAAACGGTATACTGCTTTTTAAAACTCTCTTATATTAACTCTCACAATTAATCAGTGAAAAAGGGAAATGCTGAGTGTAAAACTTATTGAAGTAGGACGTTACATGGGCGTCCCAGAAGAGGACAGAATATGTACTGTGTGTGACTTATGATAGATGGATAGATAGATAGATACTTTATCGAACACCCGTAGGAGAAATTCAAGTGTCCAGCAGCAGAAGACTCATCCAGGTTTGTTGTACAGTCTGACAGCTGAAAAAACAAAGGCTCTCTTGAAACGTTCCGATTCGGCAGCGCAGTGATTTAAGCCTGTTGCTACGATTACTCCACTGAGCGGCCATAGTGTCATGCAGAGGGCGGTGGACTATGTGTGGTTGAAGATAAATTTGACTTTCTGTTTTACTGCCCATTGTATCATGTCTTAAGAACTAATTTGTATTGGATCATTCAGAAGATTCAGATTCCTTTTATGTGTTAGTGTCACATAAAACCATGTGTGCAGGACACTTACATAAAACATTAATTCATTCATTCACTACAAGTATTTATTTAGCGTTCATGTTTTAGATGTTACTACAATTGGCAAGGAAAGAAAAGGTAAGTTTATTTGTATTGCACAATTCATTTACATGGCAACTCAAAGTGCTGAAAAAAACAAGATGGAGACAGTCACACATAAATAATCGCTGTACATTCAAAAGAGTGAAAATAAAATCCCTCAATTTGAACATTGTCAGAGAAGAAGCCTGTCTCATATTTTCAGAAAGACTGATTTGCAAAATAGACCCTATACATTTTCACCCCTTCTTGAGCAAATCCTTTAAAATGCAGAATCACAAAACATGTTGAAGATTGTAACTTTTTGGCAAATTTTAAAAAGGGAGACACTGTATGTGTTTTTGAAAATGAACTCTTCAATTCTATTTCCGTTGCAGGGACAGCTTTTCTTGATGTGTGATCATTTCCATAGTTACGCAGGGGGAAACAATTGCTTGACAACCACCACTGAACGCTGACAATTGGATCAAGTTAATTATAGGCCATACATGCTTGAATGCCAGTGGGATTTGTTCCATATTTGAGATAAATTCAGCGGAGAGTAGCGTTGTCTCCTGAAGCTGGCTACAGTCTGTGTGTTAGGCTAATAGATCAATAGTGGTTGCCAAGTTAAAGCGTTTCCTCTTTCTAACTAGGGGAATAATCACATACACTATGGAAAAGAAGCCTTTTTTGAAAGATGTTGAAAGAGAAAATGTCCAAATGGATCATTTAGATTCACAAACTTGTATTGACCTTTTTTGTGTATAATTGTAGTGTGTTCATCTGTTTGTATGGGCTCCACTTCATATCACTTTTTTTAACGTTTGCTGTGTTTTTTGAATGTGTTTTTTATGCCCTATGCTGCACAAATGATTTTCCTCTGGTGGGGTAAATAAAGTGGTCTGAATGTGAATCTGAAACCCATCATAAATACCTGAATTTCTCTAATGGGGGATCAATAAAGTATCTATCTATCTATCTATCTATTATGATATATGAAAGTTCTTTCTACTGGCATCATTCAAAATGTCATTTGAATATTTTCACCTCTTCCACAGAGAAAACATTTAGAACACAGTTTGTGACATGTTTTTGTTTAAGTTCATATTTGACAGTTACTATAGTTATCAGGAACAGTTTCAACCGCCTTCCACCACAATTTTAAAGTACAATTACTTTGGAATGTACGTTGTGACTTCATCTGCATTCTGGTAATGCATTTTGTGGAAGATATCAGGAAACCCCCTTCCTTAGTTTGGTTAGGGTTAGTTTCCTTGGAATGGATGTCTCATGTTGGCCTTATGTGGTTCTAGATATTCTCAAACTGCAGCTGTGTTGGACCGTCCAGTAACTCCACCGCCAGCGCTGGTCCGTGCATTGATAAAGACGACTGCGACCGCATGTTCCCATATTTCCTGGCTCTTTCCGTCATCACGTCCTTCATCATCTCACTGGGCGGCACACCGGGCTACATGCTGCTCATCAGGTCAGATCTGGCTCACACGAAGAGTGTGCGGAATGTTTGTTTATATTCTATTTTTAACAGTTACTTACATGCACTTATACGACAGAAGTGGTCAATCAGATGTCACTATAATCTCATAATAGAAATTTAATTAGCTTGAAATGAGTGGTAGACCTTATAAAATGTTCTGGCTCGAAAATATTATGAGCTGGAGTACCTGTTTTGTGTGCATGTTCCATAAATACAGTATATTGTGTCTTGTGTTTCCCAACTGAAAGTGACCTGTTTAAGTCACATGTTTGTTACTTAAACATGTGCACTAGTCCCCTCCCCTGTCTGGGGCCAGAACTCCACTGTACGTAAAAGAAGTTCTAAAATTGAAGTGGGACTTTCCTGGTTAAAAATACATTGTGAAAAAATCAGACCACAATGGTCTTTGTCTTATTATATATTCTTACTTACTGAGAGCTGATTGGCTGAGTGAAGGTTGGTAAAAGCTGATTTTAAAGACATGAACGATGCCGAAAACACATGCATGTGAAAACTAGTGGTAAAAAAATAGTTGCAGGAAATAGTTGCATGGAGTTTTATTGTTGTTGACATTTTCGCTCTTTGTTTTTGCAGGTGCATTAAACCTCAGCTGAAGTCCCTGGCTTTGGGTTTCCATGCTATGGCAACTCGAACACTTGGTAAGTTACCTTTTTAGTATTATTTTATGTATGATCAACATGGAATGGCACAGATGTACAATGATCTGTTCTCTCGCTACAGCAGGAATACCAGCCCCCATTTACTTTGGAGCCATTATTGATAAAACATGTCTGAAATGGGGCCAGAAGAGGTGTGGAGGGATAGGAGCGTGTCGAATCTATAATACCACAGCATACAGGTCAGAACTACTTTTCTATAAAACTCATTTTTGAATAGCCCTAAATCACAACAGACCTCATCTTGGAGGACAATGCTAAAAGTAACAAAAAGACAGGAGCCATTGGTCTATGGGGCGGAGGACCGATGTTTCTAAATGTCCTTAAATGCAACACTTACACTTGTGGCACCACCTCTGTGCTTGGTTAGTACTGTGATGGGAGACCAATGGGAACAGCAGGAATCCCAGTGGGGCATCTGTGGCTGTAAAGTGCCAAATTGTTGTTGTGTCCTTACACAAGACACTTCACCCCCATTGCCTAGAATGAGTCTGGTGTGTGTGTGAATGGTTGGTGGTGGTCGAAGGGGTCGAATGCACATTCTGGTCGACTCACTTCTGTCAGTGTGAGTCTCAGTGTGAGAGCAGCTGAGACTACAGTAGTAGTTTATCAACACAGTGGGCCTCATTTATGAAACTTGCGTACGGCCAAATCAGGGTGTAAATCAGGCGTACGCAAAATATTTACACTTTTTGGCCTTTATCAATCTGGACGTAAGCGTACGGTACGCACAAAATATACACCGAGTCAGGAGGTGGTGTAAATGTGTACGCTCATCTCAACCCTCATCACAACACGTCAAAACAGGCATGGAATTCAAGATTTGGACAACAATAAACATATTCCCACTCTGGCAAAATTATAAGCTGAGTTTTCAATGAGCATCATGTTTCAAAATTCGAATTTGCGCATCAGAAAAAGTCTAATGGAAACACGCAAACTTCGAACACCTCACAGTTCATGCTGAGGACCCTCTTCAGTTTCTTCGTTTTCAAATCTGACTTGTGCGTATTATTTTCATCTGTATGTTTTTTAAATGTGAAGTGCTTTGTGATCCTGGTCTGTGAAAGGCGGTATACAAATACACTTGACTTACTGACTAACTCCGTAAATCTGTGGCAGACCCTGCGCTGTGTAAATACACATGTTTTTCCTCATTCACCTCTGGCAAAGCAATGTGTTTTTTCCTTAGTTTTGTGCATAAAGCCCCATAAACGCACCAATGGTCTCACTCAAAACTGTCTCAGCCACTGCCCTGCACTCCACCTGTAGCAGAGATAGGATGGCAACGCACTTATGTGGGAACGGGCTCACGGGCAGTGCGCAGCAGGTGCCCCAGAGGTCCCACTGCATCACTGCTCAAATGTTGTGCGCGTCATTCAGACGTTTTGGATCCAGAGATTCTCTGTGAAATCACGGACACTTTGCAAAAGCTTCTCATACGCATCTTTCTTTCTCACAGAGATTGCTCAGACGTTTCACCCGGATAATGATGAGAGCCACCGCTGAGGCCGAGATATTAGCATTAATTAATTCATTCATTCACTTCTAAAGTTCAGGAGAGATGAGTGCTGCCGTGGGTCTAGACATTAGGGAAAAAAAGCGTATATGTAATATAGCTTAATATTTATTGTTAAACAAACGTGAACAAACTCAGGAGTGCCTGGCAAAGGCTTTTGAGGCTCCAAACAGTCTTCTTGGCCGACTTCCATGCTGACTTGTCGTAAAAACGCGGCGTGAGAGGAACGGTTTCTGAATATTTACAGGCGTGACTCTAAAAAATACGCTAGTTTTCACTGCGGCATTTATGAACAGCCGCAGTTGCGTACGCTCAGATCTGGGCGGATCTCCCGTTCATAAATCCCATGTTAACCTTTTTCTGCGCAAGTTTCATAAATGAGGGCCAGTGTACGGAGGGAATGAATATTGACATGAGAAAAAACAGCAATGTATTAGTTGCATTAAAAATGTCCTAATGTTGTTTTTTATGGCCAATGTGCTAAATTTGATTAAAACAACATCAGGAAGAATATTTTACTTTGGGTAAATGTTCGTGTCAGGATGTTGGAGTACCACTTATCCTCAACATTAGTATCCGGTTGAGTAGCACAGTCCATTTGTGATATTTTTGTGCTTGTTTACACCTTCTGTATAATCTATAGCAGCTTCTCACTACATTGAATTACTTAACTCAGCAGTAAAATAAATAAATAGCTAAACAAGTTGTATTCTTTCATCAGTTCAATTTATTATCAAATTGATTTTCAATAACAAAAATTCAATAGAAAGGTTTTTGAACCAACCTCTGTCACGATTCTGACAGAGCTGTACTCCCTGCAGAAAGACAATGTGTGAAAATATTATGGAGAGGTCAAAGCTTTAGTTTGGTCAAATTACTTTGATTTGCCGTATATCTTTTACTTTCAATTATTGAGCATACTCAAATACGTGAAAGCAATTGTGGAAAAAAAAAACAGTATGTATGTTAAAAGTCCACTTCTGCCATATAGTAGCCTGGTCGTACCACACCATAGTACAAATGTCACAGTGACATGATGATTGAGCGGAGTGTACGGATGGCTAAGGCCAGGCTCGCCATATAGTGACTTATCCACATCTCTACAGCTATAAACTGTGTTACTAGGGAAAGAAACACCACAAAGAGAATGTAAGATAGACATTTCACTGGAAACTCAACACTACACTTTTTGTTATCAAGTTTAACCCCTCTTCCAATTGAGCACCTGGTCTTTTACATAATTTTACACGCTTGTACCACGCAGCACTCCTTAACACTTACACTCTTTCAGTTAATTGTGGCTTCCTTTTACCCCAAAAACATGCAGGTTATATCCAGGCCATTTCATTCACAAGTACAAGACCATCATTTTAGTTATGGTCACATGGGCGGCACGGTGGCTGAGTGGATAGCACTCTTGCCTCTCAGCAAGAAGGTCCTGGGTTCGAATCCCGGTCGGACCAGGGCCTTTCTGAGTGGAGTTTGCATGTTCTCCCCGTGTCTGCGTAGGTTTCCTCCGGGTACTCCGGTTTCCCCTACCACTAAAAATATGTCCAATAGTTCTGGCATGCGCCTCCTGTACCGTCTCTGTGTGGAGTGAGAGATAAATGCCCATAATTAACAATTGTAAACCGCTTTGAGACTCTGATCTGCAGTGAAAAGGCGGTATATAAATAAAGATTACTTACTTACTTACTACATTAAAACAACAATGGAGATTAAAGTTGGGTTCTGTTCTATCACTAGTTTTCACCGCTAGATAATTTTGGCCTCTTTTACTTTTTCAGACAGAAAAGTGTCTGACCCTAACCCGAAGCGTCAACTTGTGACTCAGAAGGCTCTTTCTTACAAGTCTGCAAGAAAACAACAGCGTGTTCCTGTTGGAACAAATCAATGACATTATTTATGCTATGGTACCCCAGACAAAGAAGAGCAATTACACATTATTTTTATCCATGAAAAGGATGAGAGTATTTACTTTTATCATTTCATGCTAAAATCGGAGAAACATATGGTGGCCATTCTTAGTGTTACAATAATTTACATCATGTTATTGAGAAAAGGTTATGACAACTCACATGATTGTGAATAGATATAATTTTAGTAAATACATAATTTGGCGCACTCCCATGTTGTTGTTACATGTTAGTGTGAAGAAATGTTATAACAGCTGTTGGTATTCTTGAATAAACCAAAGATAATGAAAGCGTCAGAGAAATATGGTTGTTTACCGTCTTGGTGCGACTGCATCTAATGAGGGAAAACATTTAAGAAGAAGCTAACTTTGAAAACCAACTGAAATGAACACAACATTTTTCTCTTCAACGAACGCTTTCTGCCTGTAACTCCAAGTTCTGCCACCAGAGGGAGGGGTAAAGTTTGTTTTGTTTGTTCCAAACTTCAAAATTGCTGGCTGCAAACACTGACATTTGAATGTAAAGAACGTAATTTCAATCAATAAATGGGATTTAGGGACAATACAGTGTAATATCATATTGCTACAATGACATTCTATAACAGGACTGAAACAGGATAATTAGACAGAAGAGGAAGCGCTATTTGTTTGACATATTGTTGGTTTTGAATTGTTGACAATTAAACTTCCCTCAACTTATCTTTTCTCATCATGCATCTTGCAGGATAGCATACCTGGGCCTGACCCTAGCTCTGCGGACGGTCTCCTTTGTCATCTGCATCCCTGGCTTCATTCTGCTGAGCCGGCAGCTGAAGCAGGAGGAGAGAAACGCCCTCCACCACGCCGCCACCAACGGCGGGGCCGAGCTGGAGGCGCTGAGGAAGGGGGAAGCGGTCAGTTCCAGCTCAGAGCAGCGGATATCAGTCAACGGGACGGACCGAGAGACGCGGCTGTGAGACAAGTGGACCTACCTCCGCCATGAACAAAACTCTGTATATACAGTAACTAAGCCTAACAAAAGTGCACACTCACAACAAGCTGCAGGGAATTATAGTCACTCTTTATATCTCATTATATGAAGCGATTTATATTTATACCAGAGAATTGAAGGTTTCCTTGGAATCTTATGACAGGAATTAATGTATATTAAATATTCTTGAATGTACAGTATTATGCTTTTGTTTGATAATCACTAAGTTTTATTTTCCATGTTGGATGATTGCACAGGAGTTTTCACAGGACTGGTCTGTATACTACTGCCGGAAAAAGAAAAATAACACCAGCATTTTAATGATCCTTTGTATAATTTTATTTAAATATGGCAATTTTTTTTCTACCTGGTATGATCCCATAACACCAGACAAGTGACCTTATAACACAGAGGCCTAAACACAGCTTGGTAAACAGCATTACAGAAAAGGTTAGTTATATAGTAAGAAAAAGCACACAAGGTGGAATACTTTGTTGGTCTGCAACAATTACCTCTTAATATATACTTATGCACTATCTGTGACGCCAAGAGAACAGAGCGACAGTTTGATAAAAAGCCTTTGTGTATCTTAAGTTTTGTTAAGCCATGTGATTGTAATATAGTTATTAGAGTGACTCTGGAAAGTGTTTTTATTTTATATTACCGGACTGTATTTGACTCCAGTCTGTATCAATGCTAGTATACACATTTAAATGTTGAAGTGTCCAGACATTTGTGCGGCTGGTTTTCTGTACTTGGTTCAGGATGTTGTTTAGTGCAGGGGTTCCCAAACTTAAGGCCAATTCTCCTAAAACGGCATGTGACCAACATGTGGTATAATAAATAGTATAATAATATAGTTATTTGAAACACATGCAACATTCATTTCATCTTTGTGCTAGATTGAGTCTTTTGTTGTGCCATTTGATCGAATACTTATGTTTGTATCAAAGTTATTGTAAAAAGGCCATTTTAAAGAAAACAGTGAACTTTCCAAAACCAAACTGTTATTGAAGTAGAACTATTAAGAGCACATTCTTTAGCCTTCTCCCACTGCTGTAATGGTGGGATCGTTCATCAGGGTTCCAGACACAACTGCCGTGTCTAGTCTTAAACATGTGTCATTAACACACATACAGCACATGTGCAGATCTCTCCCTCTTTTTGAATATATGTAGAATATCCTTCATATTAGTAGCTCAGTTGGTAGAGCATTGGCTGTTGAGCCTGAAAGTCGTGGGTTCGAGTCCACCATGAGACCTTCTCCACCAACTCCCACTGATGACTGCTGTCGTTGTGTCCTTGGGCAAGACACTTAACCCCACTTTGCCTGAAGCCCCCACTGAAAGATCTCAGCTCCTGTGGACTCACCACCTGCAGGAGGATCAGTGAGGGGCTGGTGCCGAGTGTACTGGGTGCAGCTCTGACTGCCACCCCCCTGACCCAGAAATGGATTAAGGGGTAGAAAATGAATGAAAAGAATATCCTATTGGTATTACATACATATATTTTATATGATAGCGAATAACTTTTCATATATAAACAAAAGATACTCAATACAAATCAAGAACATTTTATTTTACATCTGTGCAAAAAGGCACTGCAACTTGTGAAAAAAATAAATGCATTAAGACTTTGATTTAAATAAAGATCGTCACTTTTTCAAAATAAACTTGAAATTTGAGAAGTAAATGTGTCATGGGAAAGCAGTCATTCATTCCACACAGGATCTGTACATAACTCCCCAACTCAGAACTCGATAAGCTTCTTAACAAAATACCAACAACAACATTCTATGACTGCTAAACGTTAAAACTACCTAAAGACATAGAGCATCTTGGATTTCACTGTATTCAATGCCACAGGATCAGCAGCTGGAGTGCGGGGCTTCTGGCTGCACTCAGGCTAAACTTTTTGAATGTTATTTTTTGTCACTCACAAATAAAGTAAATAACTGTTGAGCCTCAAGTCTCTTTGTATCCATGTGCCCGATCTTAGACACTGCAAAAAGGCATAATAAAGTTAATATGTGCTTTCTGTCATGTGTCTTGATTCGAATATATTTGCCGTTTTAAAATGTGACTTTGCACTGGTCAGATAGGAACCGCTTGATTTTGAACTTTGCGTTATACCAAATGTATTTTAGTCACCGTCGTTTGTTGATAATATAGGAATGTCACACCGTCTCACCCTATACCCACAAAACGTCAAATTATTTCCTTATACTCTTATGTTTTATGTGTGTGATAGAATTGTTCTTGTTAGGCAGACTTCTTGTCTTCTGTACTTTCACGATTCTAAGAAATAAATGAAAAGTTGTTTTTAAAAAATGTACAAATATGAACCAAAACACAGACAATTATGTTTAGCAGAGCAAACCTGGAGCTCCTGGTGTTCTCTCAGCAGCCGATCGTACTCTCTGGTCAGACCCTCCATTTGCTTCTTCATCACATCAGCCTCAGAATGGGACTTTGCAAGCGCTGTAAAAGACAGTAATATTAAACATCCGCAACATAGCAATTATAATGATATTAAAACGCTGCGGTACAAGACTTTCAAACCACAATTAATGTAACAATGATAAAAATCCATCTGTGCTCTCAAAACACTTTGATTCTAATCCCTAGTTTTTTGGCCTTTGTCACTTTGGATCAGCTTTTTTAAATGAAAAGCACAACCCAAAGTGGCCATTGGTGACAGGGCTCGTAAGTGTACGAAATGACACACTTCATAAACAATTAAGATGATTTGATATATATCTGTAAAACCAAAATGAATCCATGTATTGTTTATGAAAAAAGGTGTATCATGTAAGGTATGTCACATGCGGTCATTCAAAACTGCAAATACACTTACTTTCATCAGAGGCCTTCAATCCGTCTTTCAGTTTCTTCACTTCTTCGCGCAACAGCTGCATTCCTTCAGCTGTAGCTTTGTCGCTGCTTCCTTCCATTAGAGCCTGAAATGAGAGGAAACAGCAGAACTAGCAAAAGAAAAGCTAAAAAAACTACGACTACGACCATTACTACAACTACTGCTGTACCTGCTTCAGACGCTCGTTGTCCTCCATGCATTTCTTGGAAGCTTGGTTTGCACCGTCGGCAGTTGCCTGGAGAGCAGCTGTGGTGTCAGACATGGATGCCAGTTGGCTTATCATGGTGATCACACGCTTCATCACCCTATAGAAACCAAACTAGTCAGATGGAGACTGATTGAAGAGAGGACAGAAACGCGACACATGTTCTCCAGACCGACCAGTTGGTAAGCCGTGAGAAAACAGTAATGGGCGAGTCAACTGGATTAAATACTTACAGCCACAGAAAGACAGCGAAGCCAGATATGTAGAGGTTCCGCTGGGCTCTGAACAGTTTCATGTGGAGGTGGTCGTACATGTTTGGTTGCAGCTTGGCGTCCGTACCCGCGTTTTTAGTCGAGTATTTTCTCACCTCTCGCACAGCATCTGTTCAGACCCACCGCAAACCAACAGTCATGTCACGCAGCACGTCAGAAGCGACGAAGAAAACTCACCAAAAAAGAGAACTATGAGGATGATTATCATGGTGAGAAAGACTTTGTTCCAAAATCTTGACACGTAGCTCCATAGTCTGCAATTGAAAATGCGTGTCCACCTGCAGACACGAACAGGTTAGAGTCATGCAAATATAATAGTTTATAGAGAAACATGACAGTGGCCATACCTCTTTGGTGAGATGAAAGGTATACAAAGGATGAGCAGAATACCCATCTCGACATACAAAAAGAAGGCCACAGCAGTCCATTGCAGAGACATGATGAATGGAAGGTTGTCTGTATAGAATTAGAGTTGACAATGACATGCAGGCATAATATTCAGTATTAAATATGTTTTCTATTGTTATTAATGGTTAGGTTCTGTATTTTCAAATAATACATATAATACGCAATAGCAACAAAAAGATTGCCCCCACTAATATCTATGACAGTTCAGAGTCCTTTGTGGAATAGTTGTGATTGAGAATGAGGTTCTTTATCCTCTCTGAAGCTGCCCTTTCTTCTCTGCAAAAAAGCCCAAGGTTCCTGTAATTTACTGGGCTGCATCGCATGAACTGCATATTTGAAATCTCCTCCGACTGGCTCCATGATGTTATAATTTTGAAATAGAAATACGTTTATTTGACGATATATGGATTATTTGTTTATTTGATCATAATCGCTCAAATCTGACTATAGCAAAATGTCTACCTACTTCAAACTTTCAAGCAGTATAGTGTCATAAACATGAATTAATTAGGTTACAGGAACAACAAACTCCAGTTGTACCTAGAGAAGTGGGTGTGACACAGACCTTGTAGAACTAGACTAGTATAGAGTATTCACTGTCGGTAGGTTTTGGGGGGAACAAAAACAACACTACGACACCCCAGCAGATCTCACATTCAATTGATTTTAGAAATAATTTTAAAATATACAACAGATCAATGCAGATAGTGTTGGTATCAGTAACACACGCTTTCATAGCTAATACCAACAAGCTGACGTCAAGCAGGAAGCGCAATCACCGCTAGCTGATGCTACGGATCTTTTCTACAACGTAATACTGTAAATCCTGACACAACTTACCGCCGCTAATTCAATTGAGACACTGGCAGGATAAAAACTACCGCAAGACTGGAAGAAACTTTTACTTCCGCAACTTGGAGTGACCAATGTGACCGCAACTTCCGCTTTGCCCTTCACAATAAGAGCCCTACAGTCATATATGCCCTAAACCTTCATGTTATTTCTTAAAGCCTGGTTCACACGGCAGAATAATTGGGCCGATTTTGGACTCGATTTACCCCTACGACAAACGTAAGAACGCTCCGAAAATCGTACCAAAAAATCTGATGGATTTTCCTGCCGTGTGTGGTGTGTTAAGACTGTACTCGTCGCTCGGAAGGACTTCGGGACTGCTCCGATCTCAACATGTTGGATTGTTTTGGCCCGATTTCTAGTGTGTGGTGTCCCCTGAGGACAGACCGTGGATAGACGAGCGCGTTGCCATGACTGCGGCGTGTAGCCAATCAGAAGACGAGACGAAGCGGCGAGGAAACACCGTAAAAAAACAACTCACCTCCATATCACGATGTAGCAAGTATAGTCCATGCTCGCGTTGTCTACACTTCTTTGACCATCGCCTTTTCTCTGCTAAAAACAAACTATCGCCACTGCATCTTCTTGGTCCGCCATGATTGTTTACTCTGAAGTCACGCTTGATCTCGAGAGATTTTGTGAGATTCGGGGAATCGGATCGTGTGTGATGTGTGTGGCTGTGCACCACACACTGTACGACCAAAGTGGTTAGACCCTTGATTTTTTATCTCCGTGTGTGAGGTCTCACACAGAGAAAAAATCGGCCGAAAAATTTAAAATCGTCTCGTGTGAACCAGGCTTATTGAACTATTTCAGTATTTGGGTACCATCTAGTCTATGGTACAGTCGGCCTATTTCCTCCATTCATGAACAGTCTGAATTAAAAAAAACATTGAGTTAATGTAATCAAATCCATCTAGTTTCCTCAAAACAAATGGGTTCTATCACTAGTCTTCACACACACATTTATGTATTGGCCTGTGCTACAGCTTCTTTAGACAGCTCAACTTTCCCTCAGCCATTTCTTATAAGTAAGCAAAAGCAAATAACTTGATTTGTTCATAGCATTTTACTTTCCTAGGTTAAATATTGATCTTTGACGATTCTTTGGTATTTATTACTTTATCGCTTTGTATAGCTTCTGCAGTGACAAGATAAGCCATAAAAACATAGAAATACATTTATTAGACACTATAGATAAAGATATAAAAAATAATATCAAAACACAAGTTCTATAGGCCCACTCCCATGTCTTGTTCCGTTCCGTATGTTTTTTGGAGGTAGTCAATAACTGCAGAGGTGCTGGAAAGGGAGTTGAAGACTTTTCTTTCCGGCTGGGAGCTCACCCTCTCCAGCATGTAGATCAGATGTTGGTGGAAACATGTGAATGGGGTTCCATGTTCTATTGAAAGATTGACCCAGTCCCATATGCACTGCAAAGGTGTGTCCTCAAAACCGGAAAACATGGCAGGATTTGCGAGCAACCCTCTTGCAGACATCACTCCTGAATTAAATTATATCAGTAAAAAGCACATTCGATTTTTGACATCACCTTTTAAAAGTGTCATTTTATAATTTGCAATATTACTTACCATCAACACCAGTGAGCTTATGTATAGTTTCCACGTCCTTCAGGTACTTTATGTCCCCATTTGCGATGACTGGGATGTTGACACAGTCTTTTATGGTCTTTATGCCGTCATAGTGAACGGGCTGGTGGCGTTCCTGGGCTGTTCGTCCGTGAACCGTGATCCAAGAGACACCAGCTGATTCTGCTTTCTGGCACAAATCCACGGTTTTCCTGATATCATCATGAATCCTAAAAAAAGGAGAAATAAAGCGTTGCACATTCTATTTGATTTTTTTCAAATCATAAACATGTGCTACTTAGAAACTTCTATTTTACCGTATTTTAATGGACACAGAGTAGTTTGGTTCATCCACTTGATCTCTGACTGTTCGAACCATGTCTTTCACAAGTTCAGGTTTGTTGATGAGGCATGCACCATAGCCAGAGGACATGGCCCATCTAAAGACGACACATTAGGTACTATTACAAACACAAAAATGTTTATATGGAGTAGCGCAAGTTTTCTGATAAACATTAGGATCACCATTTGATTTGAAATGTTTTGTTTTTGTATTTTTGAAAATCACTGTGGACAAACCACTTCAGCATTTTGGTGAAGACTGCAAAATGTTAGTCAAATATACAGATAAGCAACACAATAACTTTATAGCAGTAATTTACTCTGTAAGCTCACACTTTGCCAAAAAAAAATACATTTTTATAGAGAAATGTCAAATATCTATGTGTTCCTTTACGAGTGAGATTAATCACAGGGCCCTAATATTGAATTGAGGTAAAAAATCACAAGTCATAATGGAATTGTTTGAAGACCTTTGGGGGCAGCCACAATTTAGATCAACTCCATCTGAAAATGGTGCAACAACAGAAGCGGCATCTGCGAGTGTCTGGGCGTCATTTGCGGCGAATTGAACGATCAGTGGTCGATCTCCTGAGAACCAATATCAAAATGTATAATTATATTTTCTGCCATGAAAATACCTGTAATACAAAATAGAGTAGTTCACAACGCTCACCTTTGCATGTGGTAAATTCACTATCTCGGGCTTTCTCTGACCTCATAAAATCAGCAGCAACTATCATTGGCGTATAGCAGAGATCACAGTTGTATTTCCTCACCAAAGATCTGAAAGCTAATCTGAGAAGACAAGACATCCCTTAATATCTCAAGATAAGATAAGATAAACCTTTATTAGTCTCACAGTGGAGAAATTTGAGAGCATCAAAGCATCAAACATGACGAGTTGCAACATAATACCAGCGATACTCACTTTGAATATCTAACCATAGGGGCACAGATTTTTAAGACATTTCCAGTTTCAAACATGTCCATCACGTTGGCATTTGCGTTAAAAGTTTTCATTTCAGCAGATGTTTGTTAGCCAGGAGCTAACCTGTGCAGTGCACTGGCAAATGCGACACCTAGCATAAAGCTAACAACATCTAACGCCAGACTGTGTTAAACCGATACAGACTCACGATGTTTTGTATTTAAGAATGAACACTACGACGAGTTGTCTTTTGTCCGATTGAGATTGAACACATACGAATTATAGGTCTGGTGGAATATGCTAGCTGTGGTTAGCATGTTTACGTCTGACTCACGTGTATTTTCTGTACACGCAGCAACGGTAAAGGCTAGAGTGGCCCGTATGTGCCACACTGCTCTAGTAGTTCAGACGCCATCTTGTGATTGTTTCCAACTCAAAATAAACGAATTTCTTTCATCTATGTTCATCTATGTACTTTCTTCGTGCACACGCGATTAAACCATGGATGTTTTGTATCTATCTACTTTTGCTCACTTGTGTTTATCTACTTATCCTTCCCCCTATATAGATAGATAGATAGATAGATAGATAGATAGATAGATAGATAGATAGATAGATAGAGATACTGCCGAATGTTCACAGCACCCACTTTTAAGATTATGATTAAGATATCCTTTATTCGTCCCATATATATATATTTCCATCTTGTTTGTCCAGTGAAGGGGCACTACTTAATTAGGGATAATTACTTAAATCAAGACCGAGCCAAACGCGATGTGTAACTCCCAAGCGCCTAGTTTGTCTGCAGTTATTGAATAATGTATAATCTATAACTGGAGATTGATTATACTTTAATCCCCAACCATTTCATAGTCTTTCCTGTCCTGTCTTTGACTCCATTCAAAAAGCCTCCTGTTCCAGCCATTATTTGCTTGTGGTGAGGTGAAGCTGATGTCTAATTTTATGAATGAATGTTGCGTCACAGTGGGCGTGCCGTGGGTGTGTGGTTGTGGATGTGTTAAATGGGTGGGCTCTCTAGTGCAGGTGTGTGAGTGACTGGGTGAGCACACAGTTTTTGACCGCTTTTATCTGCTCTTTGAGCAGATAAAGCAGGTCTTGTTCCTTTTTTATGTAAATCAATAAAGTGTATAAAATGAAAGGCTCAAGTTTAGCGCGTCAATTCTCCTTCCCAGTCACAAATGGTCAGTACACCTCCATCATGACAAGTTCAACATTTTTTGTTGTTGAAAAGTATCCATTTTTCAAGTATGTGCTAGTATTTATCAAGTATACACTAGGCTTTAGTGTGGAGTGAGCCACAAAGCAGATACTTATATTGTATATTTTGTGTGTTCCCTGTGTTTTTCTTACTACTGTCCTGCAACATTGAAATTTCCCCACTGTAGGACCTCCTATCTTATCTTGTGACTCTGGTCTGTGAAAGGCGGTATATAAATACAGATTACTTTCTTATCTTAGTAAACAGCATACACATTATGAGCTGTAAATGATTCAGTGATGCTGTCTCTATCTTCTAAAACTCTAAAATGTCTAAACTCGACAGGTGCATTATTGGAAACATAAAACATTGATCAAATATCGATCAGAAAATGTAACTAACACATTTATTGCAAACACTGATGAAAGTTCAATTTAACCTGTAACACGTGCAGCAGGTTCTTATGGCGTTGCTTATCATCCTCCCAAGTGTTATAATTATCGAAACTCACAATCTTAACTTGATTAAAACCACCAGATGGCGATATATAACGCACACACGATCGACATCCCCTTGTGCCTTGTCAAATACTCAGATGTTTGGATTTTCAAACATCTGAGAGTGGAATGGAAGACATAACGGACGCAACCCAGAGATCTGGTAACTACCATCTTTGTGGTAGTCCAAACTGCACAATTAAACCAAACAATTCTGCTTCAATCACTATTCAGTTACAGGGTGGAACAAAGGCATGTATAGTTCCACTAGGTTTTGATCATACATAGTTAAATGATTTTACCTGAAGGTTTTGCTTTATTTTTGGTCTTCATAGAGTTGAATTCAGCTAGTATTTTCTACTACTATGGTTTATTGTATGTTCGTACCATGAGTCAAAAGCACATCTAATATTTGAGCCATTTGTACCTCCAGAGAGCACCATAACCTAAAGCAGCAATGTTCCCACATTGTCACACAAGAAAATACATTGATATAGTAATTGCAACTTTATTTAAAAATTATAAAATTTGGTAACATGAATAAAAACAAATCCAGAAAGGCATGGGAATAAATATTATCCAGCGAGCATTCCATCACATAAAATAAAACAATATCTATAAATTCAATTAAGCCTCTATTGCCCATTGGTTCTTTAAGCTTACACTGTAATAGAAAGGTGTTGACTTGGAATTATTCAGCATGAAAATGTGAAAAAAAGTACAGAAAACCAAACTGGTGTGCACTTCAAAAGTTATGTGGAACTCATATCACCCAGTGAAGAAGAAACAGGTGACAACCTCTTGTTCTAGTGTGCATAAATTATGGCCATCACCAAATAATGGATCAAATCCCAATAGTGCATACTCCTTAAGTTGTGCATGACACATCAATATTTAACTGATATTTGAATAAAAAAATAAAACTGATAGATCTTTTTCTGTAAAAGCAGCAGGCCAGTATAGCTACAGTATGGTCCCAAGACTCAACCCATCACCTCTTCAATGTATCTGCCTGCGTGTCGTCCTTCGCCTCCAGCTCCACACTACTGATGAAATGCCTGGCCAGGCGCTGGCAGTTGTAGCTCAGCTCAGTGGTGTATTGCACACTGGTTTTCTTGGGATAGACGATTGCTGTGGTGCTGAATTGGTGAGATCGGTGGCGTGGTTCAAGCTCCAACTGAGTCTTGTAATGACGCCAGGTAGTGTGAGGAATGGCCACAATGGTCTGTCGACAGTTCTCCAGCTCATGAGCCCACGGCCGCAGAGACACACTCTGGATGAAGTGACGGTCAGAGTCATAATTCATACATGAGGTGTATCTGAGAAAACAACATTACAACATTAGTTTGTCCAAAAAGCTCAAAACATAAAACAGCAAATCAGACCAATCTATTGAAGCCATTTTCCACAAACCTCATCTCCTTTGCAGGTAATGGATTGAGGGATATGCCTTCTCCATATGATAAGGGCTGAAGATGTGATGGGCGAATACGCAAGGAAGCCTAAACCAGCAAAAACAGTTGTCACAGTTGGACAAATAGTTTCAAATCAAAGTGGGAAATAGACAAGGAATGGTTATGATGGTTAAATACAGTCAAACAGTAAAGTAGCCATTCAAATTCACTCATGAGCCAGCTATAGATCAATGCATTAGATAATACCCCCACGACAGAAACATGTTAGCAGTGTAGCATAATATCACCTGGGTTGGCTGGGAGGTTTTTCCCTCATCCTTGTCTGCAGCTCCGGGCAGGGGGCTGGGCGGTAAACCTGAATCCGGGCTATCGACACCTCTGTCCGCTCTGCAGCAGCTCATGTCCAGCGGATCTTCTCCAGGTTGAACATTTGGCAACTTCAAACTGCCAACCATGTCTGTGAGCTACAATGTCGCTGTGTGCCACGGCCAGCCCGTCTCTAAACAGCACTCCGTGATTCTGCGTACAGAGAACGAGCCGTGGGTTTCCAGCAGAAACACCCGGAGCACAGCAGCAATCCTCTGAGGACAGACTCTAGTGTCTTCCGTCTTCCCCTGCCCACAGAGATGTAAAGAGGACTGGCGAGGTCTTAATACCCGCGGCTGCTCTTCAAACTCATGTTAGGCCCTCGGAGTCACAAACATGGACTAGCACCGCCTTTCTAAGCCGAAACTCGAGCTGATTGGAGGATATTAGAGCAACAAGCGTCAGTTTCACACTACGCACTGAAGTTAACGCTGGCTTCATCAAGGTGAAACTTTCTACATACTTATGACATGAAGATTTGTTGATTATAAGGAATTACACATAACACACATCGTCAAGTTTAAAAAACAGTAGGGAAAAATCCAAAGACGTAATTAGGTCTGATTTAAGACCATATTTATTTCTGGCTGGTTAAAAGAGCAAAAGCATCAATAATGTTAATGAATATACAGCATAATAAATAGGCCAAGAATAATCTGCACATTTGGATTTCTAGTTTTTGTGTGTGTGCACGCGCATGCGTGAGTATAAATCTGATGAAAGTAAAGAACAGGTAAATAATGTATGCTATTCATAGATGTTTTTGACCATTACATCTATTGATGGACTGTTTGGAAGTTTTTGTTTCCGAAAGAAAGATTGAGGTTCATTCTTGTAATTTTAAGAATTTATTGGGTAATGGCCTATACATATTAATGCTGGCCATTCATTGAATATTTTAAAAGGAGAATATATAGACCTCCATGGTAATCCACGGGTTGAGAATCACTGTTATATTACCAGTAGAAACAAACATTCAGCTTCTACAAGACACGGAAAATCATAGTCTTTGAGATGCAAACTGGAATGACAGCAGCAGTAAGTGTTCACAGTCTTTTCTTGATGAGTTTCTCCAGTCTGCGGATGCGAGAAGACTCCTGCTCTGGGGTGGGGGCGCTGAAGGACAGTGAGGGCCCTGTGTCCGCCCCTGAAGGAGGCGTGGGCAGTCTCTGTCTGAACAGCTCCAGCATACTGCTCTGTTCACTGCGCTTCAAACCCTGCGTGAAAACACATGAGCAATAAAAAGGACACCTGCTTGAGAAGTCAGACTAAGATGCTGCAACAAGGAAAGAAAGCGACAGACCTTCATGTCCAAGATCTTCTGGAATGTTTCTGGGTTGCCATCAGCTAACAGTTTAATGTAGTTATCCACAAACACCACTGGAGGTTCATGTGGCGCCATCACCACCTGGAAAACACATCACTTTAACCACTGACAACACAGTCCGCAAGTTAAAAATTCAAATCTTAATTTCATATCTTTGTTTATTTTGATGAGCAGTTATGATTATATTTGGCTGGAAAGCTCAATAATGTTATCTATAAAGTTATTTTTTTTTATCTGGAAAGGATGGAGGTGTAAATGTATCTGATGTAAATTACTTTTTCATACTTCTGAGTGTAAGTTTTTACCGGGGGAAATGTGTGTCCTCATTAATGCTAATAAGCTTGATAACGTTTTTTCCACATAAGCCCAGCAAATTGTTTTTAAGTATTAACTCCAGCTTAACCAGGACAAAACTGAGGACTTAGTCATGGATCCAGAGCCAGCCGCTTCGTATGCTGGAGGGACTAATGTGTCTCAGCTGGCATGGGAACACCTCAGGACTCCCTCGCATGACCTGGGGAATATGTGCATGGAGAGGTAAATATGGGTATGGTTTTTTCAGACTGCTGACGGCAACACTTAAAGTTGAAGAAAATGGATGCATGGATATCTCTCTAGTTGATTTGTGTAAAAACATATACAACAAGTATATGAAAAAAAAGTCCAATATATTGAACATAACTTACGGACTCTTAGAGCACATGCCGGAATTACAATTATAATGTTACAACTTTACCCATAGTCACATTGTTAGACTATGTGCACATACACTCCTGGAGTATAAGAGATGACTGCAAAAATCAATGGGGTAATGGGGCAGAATAGGGTAAAACATGGGAAGGCATTTTGTAACATTATCTAGCAGTTAAAACATGTTTTTATGGTTATTAGTTATGTCAAATGATCGGAACGTAAAGCCCTTCTTACTGATGACACACCTCCACGGTCCTTTGTACAGAGAAACAAAGCTCATTTTGAAAGTAGAACGGCTGGAGAAACAAACGGTTTACAAATACGCTGAAGGTTGGGGCTTTGGTCAATTCTGAGCTGAAAGTGGGCACGGTTTGTGGAGCAGGGCAGAATAGGAAGCAGGCATGGGAAGTGTGGATTGTGTGGAATTGTCTGCTTTCTTACAAGCCTGCTGACTGAGTGATTTACTTGGCAACTGTTCTGGAGCTGAGCCAAGGAAAGGCCTTTGGGGACCTTGTAAAAGACTAAGGGGTAGAGGGACTTTAAGAATGAAAAGAGGGAGTAAAAATGGAAACGAGGGGAAATGTGCAAATAATATCTATAATATGCATCCTATTTTAAAGTGGTAGATGAATGAACATGTGGCTTTACTCCAATGAAAGTTAAACCAACACAAGCAGTCTTTGTTTTACACATTTTAGTAAAAGTTCTAGACAAGGAGCAGGTCCCACTGGCCATTTCATAGGCCAATGGTGCGGCTGAGAGGAAATAAAAGTACATGCAAACAGGCAGCTCTCTGTGTCTGTTTACACATTTCTTTACTCCCCAGAGACTGTTGATTAGGGCAGGTCAGAGAGGCGGCTACCACATACCACTGTTCCCTACGGCAACAAAGGTGATTCTTGATGAAGGACAGATTTAAACCTGTGTCATTATATATATATATATAATATATATATATATATATATATATATATATATATATATATATATATATATATAATTAGTGTTGTCTGCTCAGTAATCCAATAAACACTTATTTTTGTTTTGTTGTAAAGTGAGTACATGAGATTAGTTACCCCCACCTCACATTGGCTCAGTGTCAGCCCCATACTGTGTACGTAAATGCTTGTGTATGTCACACTTACTGCAGTAATTAAACCAATGAACACAGGCTCCGTTCGCTTCATTCATTCCCTATCTCATGCAAGGAAGGTTTCTTTGAGCTACCATCCTCATAAAGAGCTATTTAGAAGTGAGAAAGGCTAAAGACACAATTAAAAGAGTTCTTAAGGCTGGACTTAACCATGAGTGTGTAAATAACAACATCATTTAGAGATAGTTCTTCTCACTTTCCAAACCTGGAAAATACAGACAGTGGGAGGTTGGGCAAAGATAGCTTTTTGGTAATGTTTTAAACAAGGTAAACTTTAAAAGTGCTCTTAGTCTTACTTCTGTTAAATGGTGATGGATAATTACAGTGTGTATAGAGAGCCCCTTCAAACACATACCAACATTTTGTATCAGTATTCCACAGCCTTAAAAGGCCCCAGACGGAGGGCTGTGGTCGTAAAAGCAGCCAGCAAAGTACCCACAAAAGTTAAATGTCATAAAAAACCTCAAGTATTCCATAAAGTTGAGACTGACTGTGATAATATGTTTAGGTTCAAGTAAATCCACCTTCCATGAGGAAACTTTTCTTGAGGAACCAAGTTTACCCGATTCAATTGTCCTGAAGTCCTGGAGTATCAACAGACTCGATATAGCCCTTTAAAGTCCTGCAGCTCGAAACGAAACACCGCTCACCTTCAGGATCATCTCAGCTCTCGTCATTCCTTTCACTACGATCTTTGTGTAGCTGGCCGGAGCCTTACGGAGCACCTGGGAACCTATGGAGGGCAAGTCCAGCAGCACAGTCTTCAACGAATGAGTGTCCAGGAGGAGCTTGAAGAAAACAAAAACGTATCATTCATGAGTTGCCTTCATATTCTGTTTTTATTCTGCAAAATGTTTAAGCAAATTGGTAAAAGTGCTCACCTGTTCAGCTCCGACCATGCTGATAGGCTTACATCTGAAGAGGTGGTTGATGAATTTGGGAATGAAAGAGCTAAAAAAAAAAAAAGTATTAATAATAGTCCAGCCGGCTGATTGCGCCGCTGTGAAACTTACTTGGTAAATTTAATGCAGAATTGAGTAAAGTATTTGCGTGTTGATGCGAGGTTGTCTCTGATGATTGGCACATTCTGTTTAATGTGCATGATAATGGACGTCACATAAGGACTCTGGTCTCCAACATGCTCCACACTTTGCCATGGCATCTAGAGACATTGGTTTGAAATATGTGAATAAAAAAACAACACAAAAACCTGATCAATAAAAGTTAAAGGCCTTACTTTGCTCATGGCAGAGAGCGCAGGGTCACAGGCACTATCCAGATCTTGCACGAGTAGTTGAATACTGTTTGAGATGACACTACCAAGACCACACACTTATCTTACATTTGCAAAAGACTATGGCACAACGTATAAATGATGGTGTGCCAACTTACGTGCTGAATGTGTCCATTTCCCCGGTCAAGTTAATCCTCTCCACTAGAGGCTTGTCCACCTTTTCCTTGAGTTTCTCTTCAAGCTAAAACATGATCATGATAATAAGAAGAGACTTTTGTATCAACTCCGGATGTAATGATTACCAATACATTTAGGTGATGAGCGCAGAAAACAGTAATTTGTCACATCTATAATTTTATAACAACTAAAACGGTCTGTTCTGGAGAAAAATCTATTAGTGTGTCCAGCATTGGCTTCACTTCAGAAATGTGGGTTCCAAACTATTGGATTCATCAAAATAATGAATAAATTACAGCCCGAATGTCAATTTTTGCATATCTTTTCAGAAAGACAGTAGCCAAACCGAAGGCTTGTTACTGTAATTCTGCACTTGCCTGTTGTGTTGTGGCCAAGCAGTACTCTGCAGTACTGAGGATGCTACAGATGAGACAAAGCTCCTCCACAGTGAATTTAGCAGTTTCAGACCCCTCCTTTTCTTTCAACAGACTGGTGATTGTTAGACCCCCACTGTTGCTATTGGACCTGTAGACAAATAATGACACATAATAATTACAGTGAACCAAGCCATCGAAAAACTAAAAGGTTTCTATGATTCCACTGTTTCTCCAAAAACTGAAAAATACCAGCGGATATGCATTGTATTTGCATACAACTGATGTATATTTCTGAGAATACACCTTTTTGCAATGATAGTTACAGTATGTTCTGGACAAATATCTTTTTATATTTAAAATGTGTGTCTAAACTTACTTAGGCAGGTTGCCTGACAATATTTTCCAAGCATATTCCCTTAGATATTTTTGAAAGATGGTTGTTAAGGCAATCATTGGCTCTCCTGTGCTGAGCTGGGAGCACTGAACCATGCACTTCTTGTAGTAGACAAAGAGGTCAGCGCAGCTGGGCAGCACTGCTCCACCTTCCTCTGTCCCCGCTTTGGGTGGGCCCTGTGCTCGGAAGTCTGCTACAAAACGGTCAATAAGTTCACCAAGATTCCTGTGTGAAAACAAAAAAGTTTGTTCCATGAGTTAGTCTCTTCTTATAAGTGAAAAGGTTAACACCCAACAGAGATTGAAATAAGGTGAAATAGATCCCAGATTGATATGTGTGTAGTCTGTGTGAGATAATTAGGCTGAAACAAGCTGAACACTCCTGGAGCTCCGTAGTGGGTCACTCCTTTGCAGTTAGTTAGTTACATTAGTTACTTCATTGTTGGTAAAATTTTGTAAAACGTTGAAAGATTAGAAACCTTGTAAGTATGTGGATGATCAAAGATCATGGAAGTAACAGTATTTCTGTTGTGTGGTGGCACTTACTTGTCCTGAGACTCTATGTAGACATACAGGTGAGGTTCAAAGCACTTGGACACAATGCCATGAAAAGGATTTTCTGGTGCTTTAGGCTTCCTAGGCTGTAAGGTCAAAATGTTATGGCTTTCTATCAACATCATTCTTTGTCAAGATAAAAAATATCTAAAAAATAAAGTTAAGAAAATCGCTGACCCGAGAAAGATCATCCTTTTCTCCACCATAGTCACCAGCCTCATCCTCCAGGAAAGGGTTAGTGGGCTCAAGAGGACTTTCTGGTTTCTTCTTCTATAAAACATATCGAGTGTATAAAATATGCACATTTATTTTCAATAGCAAAAACAATGGACAAGCTGCCGTTAATAATCCATTATATTTTGGTTGTATGTGCAGTGTTGTTGTGTGAGCATGAGGGAGAGGCCGTCACGATGCTCCCCTCTTCCTCCCTCAGTATCTCATGCATGTGTGACATTGGCACATGTTGACCTTGTGTATGTCGATTTAATCTTACATACTGTCCCTTTAAGTTTATCATTACCATGTTATAGTATTGGCATTGTAAAAAGAAAGTGTTTCATTACAATTTCTTTCACTCATATTTGCGATCAATTTATTCATGTTTTAAAAATAGATTCACGTCCCTAATTTCAACCCTTAATCAGATTGTTTATACCCTCACAATATAGTGAGAAAAGGTAATAAAGTGTAAGATCAGAGTTTTTCTCATAAACTCAGTCATTATTATCTTCCTTTGTGAACAAACTCATGATGACTAATAATATCGCCAACAAAAAGCTTTGAGGTCTTACCCCAGGTGTTGCATCTGTCAATGTGCATCCAGTAAAACGTTTAGCAAGCAGACCCTCAAAGTTTGTAGTCCTCTGAATGGCGAAAAGCAGCAGCTTTACTTCAATCTCCTTTGCTCGTGTTCTCATAACTTTTGCCAGTTCCACTCTAGAAAACAGCAATTATTCATTAGGTATTTACATACTTACGTTTATGTGAAATAGTCTTCGAATAAACGGTGTGTTTTTACCTTGTAATGTGGCAAAACTCTACAGATATACGTTCAGTCATACACCACTCCTCAGGAAACATACGCCCATACTTCTCCTCATAGTCTACAAGCTGCCGTTTGATCCAAGCATAACGTCGATCAATTTTGTCCAGCCAAGCAACCTGAGGACCAGGGCAATCAGCATCTCATTATACATGCAGCAACAGTTGCAAGAATGTGTAGCTGTGACAGAACTTACATCTTGATTTTCTTGGAAAAGAACAAGGTACTCAGAAAGGTGCTGTCGGATGAACTTCTTAATGATTTCCTGTTTTATGCGTGGGTCTAAAACATTAGCCACCAGACAGGCATCCCGAAGAACATTACTGGGTCCTCCCGGTCTCTTTTTGAATGTGTGGTTACAAAAAGAAACATAGCATTAAGTGCATAGTTAAGTATAGCTTGCCAACATGAAAACAGGCAGCTCTGTATTACCTTGGAGCCCTGGGAAGGGAAGGCTTCCTCAAAATCGGCCAGAATCTGTGTACCTAGTTCACTCTGTGCCGCTTTTACTCTGGAAAATGCAAAACCTTTTCAAAATGTTTCAACTGCTACTTCCAACATTAATGCAAATGTGGCATTTGATAATACAATATACAAGTGTACTTTTGAGTGCCACATTAAATTGGTTTAATTAGTTGAACTAGTTGGCGCCGCACTGCACTGAACCTGACTCAGACTGCAATCAACTATAACATGTTATTTCATGCAAAAACAACAGTTATGATATATATGTAATATGCATTTGTGTTGAAAGTAAACAAGTAAATAGATGAATCAGTTCATTGAAGATAATAATCAAGAGATTACTTGAATACTATATTATCAATAACTGCAAAATAGTCCTAAAGAATACAATTAGGAAATGGGTGTTGCTTGGGCGTGAATGGAAACAATTGTAATTCAGGTGCTCTTCTAGGCCAACATACTTATAGAAAGCAGATCAAATGGCTAAACATACAATAGTATGTAAATGGCAGAGGTAAATGATGTGAGCTCTCTGATGGTAATTACAAATGTCCTTTATTGCTACATTGAACTGACAAAGTGTTTTGACACCGTGGTGTCTTCATCGTCACCTCGGATCTTTTGCTTCACTGCAAGACATGTGTTTAGCCCCTTTGACCTGCTTTCCACTTCATAAATACACTATTCACATGGTCTGATCTAAGTATTTATGTTAGTTGTTTCATCTGTCATTTTGTCCAATTTTGTAACTGATGAGTGGTATGGTCCATTTCAGTTACCTTTCTGATAGCTGCCTAATCTGTGGAATCCCCATGTATTTTTGAAAATGTTCAAGCACATTTACAACTCCCTGTAGCAGATTGGCCACTTCTCCATATTGCCGCTTTCTTGTCATTGCTCTGAAAAACCAAAACAATACATGTCAGAAAAATGTCTCACACTGTCAACAACTTTTTTCTCACGTCTGGCAACGCTGCACCAGCAACAATTTACACACACACACACACACAAACACACAATTGTTAGAACACACACTCAGGATAACTAGGCCCATAAAAAAAGCACCCACTCTAGGGAGTCCACACCCCCTGCCAACATGTGCAGGTGATTGAGCGTGGTGATGGATGTGGTGAGGTGCCGTTTGGCATGGTCCAGCTGTTTGATGTCCCGTGTTATCTCTTTGACCTGAGCAGGAAGGAGAAAAGTCAGAGGAGACAAGACAATGAGGGGAAAAACACACCTATTAATTAAGTGCAATCAATAATGGAAGAAAGGCGCTGATTGCACTGCAGGGCAATAAGAAAGACCTTATACAGTACATGCATAATACCACAACATAAATAAAACGTGTACCATTTGTTCAGACTTCTCCGCCTTGTCTTTGATATCTTTGATTTTGCCAAAAAGTTGTTGAATGGCTATCTGTGCCTCCTCCAGTGCCTGTCAAACACAAATGAAAAAAACATATTGCATATTAATGATATTAAGTGTTTATCTGAGGGTGCATTTAGATTCTTATGTTAGCCCTTTTTCTAGTATTTCAGCCAGTAAATTGTGGCATCCATTGAAAGGCTCACTCAGGATATCACATGATACCGGAACCTGATACTCAACATTTTTTCTTGATCAGCATCGACATTTGATACCAGTATCATATCGGTGCATCCTTTGTCTAGAAGGCAAGATAACTTTAGCCCTCATTATATTCTAGGACCGATAGTGCAAACGTGCATCCTTAGAATCTTAAAAACTGTTTTGACTTTCAGTCACAGCATTTAGTGATTTTACAAAATGTATTATAATTTAGTGGCTCAAGACTACACGTTCACAACCAGACACTTACATTATAAAAGATAGATTAATGGTTAACATTTACTTTGAAGAGGGGAAAAATATTACAACATATGTTGCTAGAGAAAAGGAGTGGCAAATGCAACCCAAACGACAAAATGTTGCAAAAGGCAGTGGTGCAGTAAGCACCGCAGGTCACGGTTTCTTAAAAGCTGTTTTTCTTAATAAAAAGAACCTCATGAGCCTTCAACATAAAGAAACCATGATGAAGTTTTTACATTTACAGTGGGCTGTGTTGCTCCTTTCCTGTACTCCAGAAAAAAGCATTGCCCAACGACACAACACTCAAGAAGATACTTATCTTTTTCACACATCAGTATACATAATTAAATAGCATTGCGCATGCAGGGAATTCCAAAATAAAACATAATTTGTAAACAACTTTCTTGTTTTCTTTTTGGCTGATATGACAAAGGGTCGCTCGTTAAACTACCATGGTAACAAAAGACAGATCTCAACAGTATCACACTTGATCATTGAGCCATTAAGTCTTTGTTTGACCATGGGATTTGAAAAACTGAACACATGTATTGTTCTGCTACCGTTTTGAGCGCCACCTCTACGTCTTTCCATCTGTAGGAATAATTTTCCCTCAGAAGTTGGCATACATTTTTGGGGCTGGAAAAACAAACTGAAGTGATTGTGTGCGACTGCTTAGGCGTATTAGTCTGGGGGGATTGGCTTGTTTTTGCATGCCACTAACCAGGAGCGAACCCGATTATTGTATGTCAGAGATACAAACACATTACATTTGAAGAAATCATTTTTGACAATGAAGGAAATTGAGGAGAAGTACACGCCAACATTTCCCCTATCAAAAAAACCACTAAATGAAAATGACAATACAAGAAATTCTATTATTTGTGTACACTAATCCATTTCTTTGACATATTTTCCGTAAAAAGCTGCAGTTTAAGCATGGTGGGGAACTGAGTCATCCTGTCCTTTTCCATATAAGCCGTATGAAGAGGAAAAAGACCACACTTGGAAAAGAAAATGCTTGTCTGAGTTGGGGGCAATTATTGGAAGCAGTAGACACTACTTGAAAAAACATTGAATAATACATCATCCTACAACACAAGTCAGACTTAAGAAGTATATAGGTCACCTGTCTACCATCCTGGCCGACATTGGTCTGTCCTCTCACCACAGTCCGGATATTGTCATCCAAGCGCCTGCAAACAGCAAGAACTCACAGCATTAAATAATTACAACTACATAATCTTTAAGAAAAAATAAGCAGTACTTTATAGTATATTAATAGAAGTATACAGACCTAATTTTGAGGCGTATCTTGCTGACGACATCGTCAATATTAGCTAAAGACTGAAATTATGAAAATAAGAGCAATGTTAGGTTAAAACAAGTGTTGATTTCTGAATATTGACACCAGGACGCTATAACTTAAAGGGGCAGTATGTACAAATCTGGCCGCAACCTCTCTCACCAGAAATCCATAACCAACACCCTTTTCACAAAGGCATCATCAATAGAAATTCTTGTTCTATTCCTTGGTTTGTCATTATTGATTTGAGAATCATAACAAGACCTTTTTAGTCCTGTGGCCACATGTTACTCGTGAGATTTGTTCGACGTGGTGAGTTCTGGCAACCCAGATCAAAGACTTTCTGATTGGTAAAACGGTGGAGGGTGGGACATCAAAATTAAAACAATAACAAGATTTAGGGGCGGTAAAAATAATTTCTAAATTCTAATACCTCGGCTGAACTATTTAACTATCAGTTAAAAAAGTTTTCGGAAAGAGCATGGTATATTAATGCCTTTTGACATATTAGGGCCATTTAATGATGACTTGACATGCAAATCTTACATATCGTTACTTTAATACATCCAGTTCTGCCATTCTGTCATAATATGTTGTTGTATAATTTTTTTTTGAGGATGCAGTGTCAAAAGGTTGGGATACAAAACTTATTTTTTCTAATTAATAGCACATGTTTGTCCTGCTTTCTTTCTGTCAGTAAAAGAAAGATATTTTTAGCCTACTTGAAAGAAAGAGCTCTGTGAGTCACTAATTTGACTTGTTGGGAATGACTGAGAACGGGGGTCTTTCACTCTTCTGTCTGATTAGTCTAAAAGGAACTACAGTGGCCAAAAGATGTAAACACTACGATAGAACCAAACTATTTGTGAACGAGTCAGATTTCAACACAGTATAATGTATGTGCTTTGAAAGTTAGGTGCCCCAACTATTAGTATAGCGTCACACTGACCCCTAGTGGAGGTAAAACGTTCATACATGTTTCGGCTTTTCAATAATTATTTAAATTTCCAAAGCAATGGGACGAATTCAGGAAACACGTTGTACTGGCCTCTTCATAAAATATCTGTCCAAACTACAGCTATAAGTGAATGAATGACAGCTGTTGGAGAGACGTAAAGCTGAAGGGCGGTGTACCTGCTCCGTGGGGAACAGGGTATTGATGTATTCCACTGCATTGAAGTCAGCTCTGTCCAGTGGGTCCTGACTGGGAAAAACCTAGCAGAGACAATAATGTGATCATGTTACAAAGACACCGGGATGACAGCATTAGTGCTGCGCTGTCTGAATACACATTAACTACAAAGTAATAACCACGCAATGAAAAGGCAAAACGTCACAATAATAATAATAATAATAATAATAATAATAATAATAAAAATAATAATAATATAAGTAATACGTTCACACAATTTGCCGAGTCGTAAATTAGCTAGTAGTAGTCATGGATGTAGCTAACAGCTTGTGCAAAATCAAGGCAAGAGCAAAAAAAAGAGCATTCGATCTTCTAGTGCCTTGCAGATACCTGCTCTATAGCGAGCTGCACTTCAGGAGTAAGGTGCAAAATAGCTTCTAAATCTTCAGCTAATTCAAATTCTTCCTCCTCCATCATCACTGTCAACAAAGCCGAAAAGCCCTGCCACTTCCTGGTGTGCTGGCCTCTGCGTTACGTGATGACGTCTGGGGAAAACGTCCACCCTTTTTCATGTTTATTATTATTGTTTTTTTTTTTCTTCTAAATATCATTTTTGATTTTTGATGAATCAAATAAAATTAACACATTGCAAGGAAGTGTGAAGAATTGTTTTAACACTATGTTCTCGTATCTATCGACCCGCAAAATAAAGAGAGTAATAGCGCTCTCTTCTGGTACAAATTACGAACAACATGCATATTTTCTGTATTGCATGAAGAGCATTAAATTGAATGCATACTGTCGGGTACTTCTGGACAAATCTATAACTCACTTTTTTCCCATTTGAGCATATTACATCATTAACATATTTTTCATTTGATCCAATATCTGCTGTTTATGCACAAAAATGGACCTATAATCTTTTTTTCTAAGAAACACTGCTGAATAGTTCCTCTGCAATAATTTGAACCAATGTCAGAATGTGCAACTAGAACCACATGTGTCCACTGTCCCTTTACTAAGCCACTTAGTCCCCACCCTCATGCTGCTAACATGTACGGATGAATACATTCAACTATATAATAATAATCATAATAATACATTGGTTTTATATAGCGCTTTTCCAAAACTCAAAGACGCTTCACAATTTAGGACACACACACACACGCACATTCAGACAGACACACAAAACTAAAAACCAAAAGCAGGAAAGAAGAGTCCAAAGCTGACACTAAGTCATATGCTTGGAGGAAGAGGTGAGTTTTGAGCTGTTTTTTGAAGGAGTTTAGTGAGTCAGAGTTTCTGAGATGAGGGGGGAGAGAGTTCCAGAGAGTGGGGGCAAAGATGGCGAAACCTCGGTCCCCTAAGGTTCGGTGCTTGGATTTGACAGTGGGAGTGAGGAGATGTGAGTCTGCAGATCGGAGTCGACGGGAGGGACTGTAGGGCTGTAGAAGTTCAGTGAGGTCTGGAGGGGCGAGGTCATGGAGGGCTTTGTTGGTGATGAGGAGGATTTTGAAATGGATGCGCTGTTTAACGGGGAGCCAGTGGAGTCTATGAAGGACAGGGGTGATGTGTTCTCTGGAGCGGGTCTGAGTGGTGAGGCGGGTGGCAGAGTTTTGGACATCTTGCAGTTTTTGGAGATCAGATGAAGGAAGGCCGTATAAAAGACAGTTGCAGACAGTATATAGTTCTTGCACTATATACAGTATTCTTTACTTGCTTATAGCGACTTAATTCTTGCTTCTTCATAACACTAAATCTAGAGATACTATACTTGCTTCTGTATAATGCTAAATTCAATATTTTATCTTATTTTACTTAAGCATATGGTATTGTTCATTTATCTTGTGTTGTGTGCTCCTCATTCCTACCGTTCTATAACCAGTGGTGCAACACTAACATTTCCACACTATGGGACGAATGAAGGATCTCTTAATCTTAATCTTTATCCATAGCAATAAACCATTTTCTCCTTCCGATCATATACTCATTCATCACCTCTAGACCCCTCAGCAGTACTGCCGCTCATTGCCACAACAGCATAGTCATGGCCCTGTCTTTCCTGTTGGTCAGGGTACCCTGTAATGACAGTTTTTAGAGTAATTAAATTAGAACCAGTCGCAGCAAATACACGGACGACTGGGCCTTTAATCAATGCAGAGACGGTCGTCTGACGCCATGCTGAGTTTGCAAAGGCCTCTGCTGTCTGCTCCTTTCACACCTAAGACAAAGGCCTTCCTGTGTCTTGCGCTAAAACAAAAGGTGATGTTTGCATGATAATCTCAGCCCATGTGACGTCACGGTTTTGGGGCCCTGCTGTGCGCCTCCTGAGTATATGTATTGGTACAGTAGCTGTGCCCCGGCAGAGCTCACGATGCAAGACTGTATGTCGGCTCTCCGCATATATATGTGTAAAATAAATGTGTTTACATCTTTGATTTAAGACAAATACCTTTCCAGCTTTTTCCTTTATTGGGGTATGAAATTCCACAACAGTTTGGCGTTGCTGGCATGTCTTGGCCTGGGTTTTTTTCGGCGGGGACAAGCGGATGCGTTCGGCCGACCTGGAACAAAACCAGCCTCCGCTCTATTTGGAGACGAAAGGAGGGCGCGCTCGTCCGGCGCATGAAAGGAATCTTTGGCCACACAAGACCAAAAAGAACCTGATTTGTGGTGAGTTTTGTCTTTTCAAACATGTAAAGCCCAGGGCAGCGCTTAAGTGTACACGGGTATTTGATTTATTTACGTATTTTGGGGTATTTTGTTCATTGCCATTTGTGTAGGGTATGAGATTTAAGCTAGCGGCTGCGTGTTAGTATTGCTCTGTAAGCAACCCCTGAACTCTTTGTGCCTTCAGCCGGGCCCGGTCCGTTTCAAGAATGCGCGCCCGTTAGGTGTATTGAACTAACGGGGGGGGAACGGATCGCTCCAGAGTGAGGAAGAGCAGGGAGAGACTAAGCGGGCTAGATCCATTTGTTCTTTAAGAGAAAATGGAGGGAAGTACACTAGAAAGGGATTCAGACGTCCCGTAACAATGGCAATGGAAAAACGGTTGCAAATTATGTGCTGCTCATTCGGATCTTCCGGAGGGAGGTTTTTTTTATGTCCTTCAATCGATTACGCGTCTTGCGTGAAAATTAGAAGAAGGAAGGGAAATATTACTTGGTTTTAAGAATATCACGGCAAAAGACGTTAGAGAAAGAAATATGTAAAAACAATAGCTCCTCCGCTTTTCACCGAAGCGGAGAACACACAGGCGAACGCGTAAGGCGATCAGCCCCGAGAAATATTCCCCAAACTCCCCTACTAACAATAAGTGTGCACCCAAACAAGGCGTTGGGTTTTTAAAAAATGAGCAGACTACTGTTGTCCCCTTTTTCCTCTCCCTGTCCAGGTCTGTCGGCGCTTTCCTCCGCGCCCTGCCCTCCGCCTCAAAGCCCCAGCACCAGCCCCACGCCCCAACCACGGCGGCGACTCACAGAGTCTCTCGCACCAGCTGATACCCCGCGAGAAGTGGGCCCAAACCCGGGAGCAGAAGAAGAAGCGGCGGAAGCAGATACACGCTCAGGAAACCGAAGCTCACGACTCACTCCGTGGACACATTATGTGAGACACCGACAACTGCTTTGGAGGCCAGAGACAAACTGCTCCAAATCCCGTGACTGTTGCCCCACGGAGGCGGCAGCGTGAAACACCAAACGCACCCGCTGAAACCCCGTTGAAAGTTGCCCCCGCACCGCAAACAGAAGAAGCCATTGGGACCGGCACGTTTGGTTATTAACCAACCCTCATGGACCACAGGCTAACGTTATTTGAACGCTTTGGGCTACCTGGGCCTCCTGCGGACTTTGAGAAACTTAAGCCATAGGTGCCAGAGCCAGGACTACGGTGCTGCGGAGCGCGCAGGAACATGTATCACGGACTGGCGGCAGCTCTTCCACAGCCCGGCGGAAAGACTGTGTGCTCGACATGTGTCGAAGGACTGTTACCGGAGGAGGCGTTAAAGGCAGAGGACCTCTCAAGCTCACACGGGGCCAGAGGACGGCAGAGGCGGGCGTGGAGGAAACACGAGCGACTGACCAAACCCGGGTTCACATTCGTCACCAAAGCGACCGCTCATGTCACGTAAGTTTGAACAAGAACAAATTGCAATTGGCACTTTTTAGAGATAATTCATGCTGAATTCCCGTAATATACGCTAACAATCTGTGGTGTAAAAGTTAAAATTCTGGATGATTCAGGGACAACAAATCCTGTGTTAAAAACAAAACATAAGGTGACAGATTTTGGTCCTTTCTCAAATGAGTGGTCGCTTCACAAAACTCATGGCTTCAGTGTAGTGAAGATAGGCTAACGGAGTACGTTTATTGGGATAGGCACGACTCCGCGGTATTACCTAACGTGTTTATCGACCCACTGTGCTCCACTTTGCACACAGTTTTGTCCGAACCCACGTCTGCAGCGTGGAGGGAGGTCCCTGCATGTATTAATAAGTGTAGCAGTGCTGGAGGCTGGACACAGGTCCAAGATGGACACTCGTGGTTCTCCAGAAATGCAAACGCATGGAGAAGCCCTTTTTATTTTTTTTATGGTCTCTGGCCGCAGGAAGAAATGTGTGCTCTGGCCCTGACAGCATCACTTCAGCCCCACGGGGGGCGGGGGTCATGCTGCCAGCGCCGTATGCAGCGACCACGCCGGGGCTGCACACGGTCCCACTGAAGGATTTTGAATAGGCCTGATAAAATTGGAGTGGCTTTTTGGATTTTTGCCACTTGTTTGGGTTGAATGAAACCGTACATTAAGGAGTTACATGCTGGTTTGAATCTTGTGTTTTAGTGCCTTTGACTCTCCACCAAGTTTGCATAAAAGCAAAAAACAAAAACAAAGAGATAAACCCTAACAAACGGTGTGAAGGGTTACAATTTTATCCCAACGGAGATCTGTTTCATAATCTGATGGACAGATGCCAAAATGCATACCTAAATTCAACATGATCAGAGGGTTGAAACAATTTTTTATTTTCTAAATTGGCTGGCCAAAGCTGATCTTCTAAACTGAATTAAACAAAGAATGAACAATCAACATGGTGAAATCAAAATGGGACTTATTTTTATCACACTCTTGTGGGGCAAAAAGCCAATCACAATAGTGCATGACGTTGGTCACTCAGGTCCTTATTGTTTTAATGCTTTTGAATTTACTTTTTACGTAGTTTTGGGGTTGTGGTTTTTGACATTTTGATTTATTTATTTTTCCTTTTTGCACTGCGGTGGTGTCTTATTTTTCTCCACTAGTGGAACGGATGGGTGAAAGACGATCACGCTTTCAAAATAAGAGCGCTCAACAAATTCTGGGCTGAAAGATATGAAATTTGATGGCCTGAACAAACATTTTTTTTTTTTTTTTTTTTTTTACAATGACTATCTGACCTGACCTGACAACTTACTGCGCAAGCGTTTTTGTTTGTGTTGATGTCA